GACAGCGCAGGCTGCTGGGTGGAGGGAGGGGACCTAGACAAGTCTCTCCCTCGGCAGGTGTTTGTTTCCGCCCTCCTGGCTGGGCCGCTGCCAGCGGGACGAGCGCCAGTCCAGGGATGGATCCGCAAGGTCACAGTGATGTCCGGGGATGTGGCTTTCTCTACAGTAACAGGATGCAGGTTCCCTCCGTTGGGTTTTTCCAATAACTCGTTACAGGGTGCCACACAGAGTGCCGTGCCCCTGCTGCTGCCGCCTCCCCCTCAGTGCACGCACGCTGTGCCGCCTCCTCTGTCCTGGGCCAGGAAAGCTCCCTGTATGGAACCCTTTTTTAAGCCTAGATCCGTGTAACCTGGCACCCATGTGACCCAAGACCAAGTCCCCGAGCAGGGGACTCGCAGTGCCGGGCTGTCCTTACCCTCTCGGCCTCGGAGCAGACCACAGCGCCCGCCCCCCTGCTTTTTCTCCCCCCCCACTCCCCTTTCACTGTTTGCTCCCTCCACTTGACTCAGAATCTGTTCCCACCCACTCCTTCACCACCCTCCCCGCTCTCCTCGGCTCCCAGGCGGTGTTGTCTGTCGGCACACCCGCCCTGCCCGTCCCTGTCACCTGCAGCTTTCCTGGCAGGCAGCCCAGCGCCCAGTGAGCATCTCGGTGCTGGGCGCTCGCTGGCTTCCGAGGCCACAAGTCCATTCTGTGACAGTGCTGGGCTGAGTTCCCAGCACATGTCCACTCTGCCTCCTAGGAGGACACGCGGGTCCCAGTTAAGCCCTCCGAACGCTGCCCACAGCTCCCTCTGTTCACAGGCAGCGTTTCTCCCCCATGGCTGGCGTCACAGGGATGTTCACTCCATGCCCCCCACCCAGTCTCTTCCTTTCGTCTCCCCCCTCGGCCCTCCCTCCATCCCAGGGACCTGTGCACCCACTTCAGGTCTCTCCTCTTCCAATTCTTCCTCCTCACTGCCACCAGGTGAACTTCTCCCAAACACCACCGAGCACCCTCTCCCTGTGGACAGTGGCTGGGAGAGTGCTCACTCCTTAACCTGGCATTTACGGCCTTCTTTCTTCTGCCTCTGCTGTTAATACAATTGCTTCCTTATTCGGAATCACTAGCCCAAGTATCAGAACTTCCCATCAGGACTCTGACTCTGGGGTCTAGTCTCCAGCCCATGTCCTCCCTCCTCCACCCTGTGCTGTCCTCCCTCCTCCACCCTGTGCTGTCCCTGGGGGGCTGCCCACCGGACGCTCTGAAAGGATCTCCTCCAGCTGCAGAACCCAGCCCTCGTCACTGGGCTTTGCAAACGCTCTGTTTTTGACGAGTCGGTTGTAGGTCCTCGGAAAACTGCTTTATTCCCCCACACCCTGTGTAGGTGGGCACTCAAATTAAGAGTTTTGAGGAGAATGATGTGATAAACCCAGCTGCCCAGGCTCCCCGAGTCTCTTCCCCACTTTCTTTTTCTTCAAATGTTCCTGCTAGGGCATGCTTCGTGCTTGTTCTTCCAGCAGCTGTGCAGACCACGCAGAGAGCACATCTGTGGGCTGACCAGTGTCAGCACCGGGAAGCCATGGGCCCTGAGCCGAGGGGTGCGGTGGGCTATGATGAGACAATTTGGCCACTGGCAGTGATTTACTTGGTTCCCAAATACCTGATTTAGTGCTTGAATTCTTTACATCTGAACTACAAGCTCTCAAGCTCCTACTGAGAAAACTCTGCCAGGATTGCTCAGGAGTGGTCACTACCGCCCTTGGCCATTCATTTAAAAAAAATGCTTGCACCCTGGCTGGTGTGGGTCAGCTGGTCAGAGTGCTGTCCCATCCACTAAAAGGTGACAGGTTCAATTCCTGGTCAGGGCACATACCTAGGTTGCAGGTTTGATCCCTAACCCTAACCCAAAATTCTAGAGACAGTAAAATTTTTAAATCTGAATTTCTAAGCAGTGAGAGTTCTTAAATATTAGCAATTCCTCTCATCAGCCCGGCTGCATCTCCAAAATGAGCTTTCTTTTCTTACTGTCCCGTCCCCCCACCCATGGCTCTGCCATTAGAGGCCATGCCCCTCCCAAGGCACAGTCCACAGACACACACACATCCTCCCCTCACCCCTTCCCAACTCTTCCTCACACGTCCTGCAGTTGGTTGGCATTGACAGTCCCTCGGTTGACTCACACAACACCACATGTGTGAGCAGTTTACAGACTTTATTTCTCGCCCATTGAGCACAGGAGAGTCTGGGCAGGCCGAGGCGTCGCCCCACCTCCCCCGTCCCAGGCGGACTGGGACTCGGTGGTAAGGGAGAGGGTCCTCGTCCTGCCGCGGATTGCTATGGGGTGATCACGACGACATGGTTCCCGGTTCTATTTACACCACAGAGTGTGGGGAGGGTACATTTCTTACACTAAAAATATATACTTTGGAATCTCTAAAACAAAAATATCTCTATCTCTACAGGAAACCGACTAGAAAGAAGAACATAGAAAACAGGGAATGTACCAGCACCTCAGGTTGTCCCTCCCATGGGAAGGCTGCTCTGCTCTCCGCCCGACACCCTTAGTTTGGGAAGGCAGCCGCATCTAACCACCAGACAGACACATACAGGTAACAAGAGGGAGGCTCGTCATCCGGGAGGAGTGAAGGGGGGGGTGGAGGGAGGGGGAGAGTGAACGGGGGTAGGAGAGAGAAAGGAATGAGGAGGAAGATTTTGGACTCTTTTGCAAAAGGAGTAATTGCACATTCAGTTTGGTACTTCTGTTTCCAACATTATTGCATGTGTGAGAAACCTGTGTGTTGGCGTCAATGGCAAACCTGCTAAGAGAAGCCTAGCTCTGCTGACTCCGGCTGGGCTCAGAGCAGTGCCGTGGGTGGGTTCTCTCTCTCAGGAAATATTAATGCCATCAGCTAGAAGACAAAGCTCAGTATTCTCCGGAGCCGAAAGTGGGTTAGGTTTAAGGAGAATGGTATTCCTTTTCTGATGGATTAGAAACTATTCCATTCCCTTTGAGCACAGAATCTCCCACAAGAATTAGGCCTATGGATGAATCATTCCACCTCCTGGATTTTCCTACTGAAAAGATTGCATAGAATTCTCCTTTCCTCTTTTCATGTTTCAAGCAGTGATGGGTAGCATGACTCCATACTTCTTTTGGTTATGAAATTAGCCTCCTTTCAGGTAAAGAAATATTAACTGAGTCAACTGTCCATTCATATAAGAGGCCAAGGGTACCAAGAACCATAAAGAAAAGCCCTGGACATGTAACTAAGTTGATTTAGTATCATCCTAATACGCCAAGGTTGTGGGCTTGATCCCCAGTCAGGGCACTTACAAGAAGCAACCAATGGATGCATAAATAAGTGGAACAACAAATCAAGAATTTTCTCTTTCTCTCGCTCTCTTATCCTTCCTCTCTCTCTAGAATTAATAAAATTTTTAAAAAAAAGAATAATAGCCAAAACCGGTTTGGCTCAGTGGATAGAGCGTCAGCCTGCGGACTGAAGGGTCCCAGGTTCGATTCCGGTCAAGGGCATGTACCTTGGTTGCAGGCACATCCCCAGTAGGGGGTGTGCAAGAGGCAGCTGATGGATGTTTCTTTCTCACCGATGTTTCTAACTCTCTATCCCTCTCTCTTCCTTTCTGTAAAAAATCAATAAAATATATTTTTAAAAGAATAATAAAGAATAGTAAAAAAAATAAAGTAAAAGTAAAATAAAGTTTAGTAAAAAAAAAAAATCACTTCTATTTGGTTTCAGAATGTCTTTTTATATTTATACTGAAATATGGATGATTCTGAAAGCTTGAGAATCCATAATCCCTTATCCTAAATAAGAAAAACAACCATAATGCCCCTTTGCAAGAAACCGCAAACCCCCTCACCTCTCTCACCAACCTCAAAACTGGTGGTGGATTTTAGAACCTCTTACCAAGAACTTCTTCTCTCCAAGGAGAACTAGAAAGACCGAGGAAAAGGCGGGAAGGATGCTTGGAAAAGGTGAGTTAGTAGAAGGTAGAACTTGGATGATCTGGCCGGCCCCGGCCGGCAGGAAGGCCTCCTCCCTCGAGGGAGGCCCGGCAGCTACAACCGAAAGGACGGTCACTGCAGGGCTCCTGAGCCTCCTGCCAGGTCATGACTTGGGAAGCTGAGAAGTCCAAGGAAATGCAGCAGCTAACTAGCAGACACTTTTGAAGCACTAGGAGAAGATGCTAACTCTCTTACAAAAGAAGCAATTTAGAGAAGCTGGTAAAGTAGCAGAGAGACATCCTGCGTAGTACTTCTGACAGACGTTATAAGGAAAGTTAGGGGACCTGGGGTCAGGTCTCCTCCTGTGCTTCAAGAAGTCATGGCGTCTCAGAACATGGACATTGAAATCAATGGAGAAGATTCAGGGAGAATTGCTGACTCCTCTACTAAAAGGAGAATCTGGCCCTAACCGGTTTGGCTCAGTTGATAGAGCATCAGTCTATGGACTGAAGGGTCCCGCATTCAATTCTGGTCAAGGGCATGTACCTTGGTTGCAGGCACATCCCCAATAGGAGGTGTGCTGGAGGCAGCTGATCGATGTTTCTAACTATCCCTCTTCCTTCCTCTCTGTAAAAAATCAATAATATATCTTTATTTATTTATTTTTAAAGAAGAGTCTGGAGTTGAGTAGATAGAAAGTGATGTGTCTGTTTGGGATGACTAGAAACCACAGATGCCTAGAATCACAGACCTCTTGAAGGTCACAGTGGTCATAGCCTGAGACATCAACCAAGCCTGAGACTTAGCATGTACCAGATTTTACCAAACATTTATGACCGGCCAGTGTGACTCAGTTGGTTAAGCATCGTCCTGTGTCCTGGTCAGGGCACATGCCCAGGGTGCAGGTTCCGTCCCTGGCTGGGGTGTGTGCAGGAGGAAACCCATAGACGTTTCTCTCTTGCATCAATGTTTCTTTTCCTCTTTCTCCCTCTCCCTTCCTCTCTCTCAAAAAATTCAATAGAAACATATTAAAAACAACAACAACAACAACAACAACAACAACACATTTTTTACTAATTTAAAAGCCAGCCATCCAAAACAAAGAAAAACAGCATATGTTCACACTGTCTTTTGGAAATGTATGGCTCACTACCCCTCTATCCTAAAGGCCAATTTCTCTGAATAAGGAGACAGGGATAAGAGCTGTATGTGATAAAGATCAGATCTCCCGATTATCCCATCATCAGAAGTCTGAAATCATATGTAGCCTCAAAGAGCTGGCCTGCATTTTATGCAACCAAATGTATTTGACAACTACACAGCATATTTCTGCTGGTCTTCCCCTTCTCTCCAGACCCTTCTTAAAGGTCATGGGCTAGGAAGTAGCACAGCCTCTTAGCAATGCTAGTTCTTCCTTCCCTCTTAGAACCAAGATTCCTCTCGCTATCACTTTCTTAAATCCCGGGCCTCTGCACTACCAGCCCCTTGGCCTACCAATGCTCAACTGAAATCTGCCCTTGTCCTAAAAGAGGTGACTGCGTCTCTGGCCCAAACACCGGGGCTTGGGACTCATAACTAGCCGCCTTGCTTCCCACCCCTATGTCAGGTTCTCGCCTTTTTCTAGAGTAATCAGCCTATGTTTGTCCTCGAGCTATTCCATTGGAGAAGTCTGAGGGGGGAATCCATAGATGGGGGATGATCATATTATTTTGATATCCCCACAGATTAGGTTGCATGGACTGACTAATAGCAGCAATGAAAGCTTACGGATAACCACATATGCATATATGTGCGTGCGCGGACACACACGTTGCTGCTTCACCTCAACTCCCAGTTTGCTATTCCACACACAGCCCAGCTTGACTCTGCTACCCTAGCAACAGACCTGAGCCAAGGAAGCAGCCAGGACTGAGACTGGGTGTTTGGTGGAGCTGAAACAGAAGAGACATGTAGTAGAATGAGTCTGGCTATTGTCTTAGGAAAACCTAGTTGCCTACAAGTATTGGCCCGCCTTCGAAATCAGCGGAAGTTCCTAAGGCGCAGCAACCTGGGAGGGTCTGGTTTGGGACCCCAAAGTGCACCGGTGGTCCTGTCACTCTCTGCACAGTTAAGAAAGGCGGGATCCTTACTCATAGGAAGCTGAGCAGACACAAAGTATCATAAGACATCAGAGTATCAGAAGAGAGATTTTTCTGAGATATTGTCACCCAGTTTCATTGCACAAAGGGCCTTCCTGTTATATTTCTTACAACCACGCTGAGGCTAGGGAATAGGCGAAGCAGTAACCAGCTTCCCTACCCAGAGGAGGCAGATGAAGACGGAGGGGCAAGATGGAAAGACAGCGTAGACAGGCATATTCTCCGAAAACAAAGGTGAGAAAGAAGGCAAACTCCAGAGAGGAATGGGGTAAACTAGCAGGAAAGCTTTTCTCTTTGACAGGTTGCCTTTTGATTTTTCTAGATTAGGTAGGTAAATGTAAATGGGCACAATTACTACATTTATCCTAAAGTGACAAAATGTGAAGCGATGGCTCACAAAGATTTTAGTGCCCATAATTTCATGTGGTGCAGACAGGAATAATTCCTATTCCTGTCTGCACCACATGAAAGGAATTGAGGCTTCCTTGTAAGTAGAAAATCAGAAAAATCAGGAACAATTCCCACAACTCAAAGGGATATTATTTTAGCGTTTGAAAGCAGCGTGCTGTTCAGCAGACAGATCACACATATTGCTTGTTGACAGCAGGTGTCCATTCTGAGTGGATGGTGCCCATCCTAAGCCAGTTGTTAAATATTTTGAAAATCACCTATGTATTAAAATAACTGCGGCTCTGAGAGTTAGGAAAATATGAAAGAATTGCAGGATTCCTTTAATATCAAAGGTCCTCAGAGTAAGCCTAGAATACACTAATATTTAAAAGTCTAAGGAATGCAAAATTCCCTTAAGGTATGTAGCCACTGCTTCACCTATGGAAAGGCGAGCACACTGAGGGAACATCCCACTCTACAAAGATTTTCCAACTGGAAAACTGATGTGATCGGATTCCTTTGGTGTTGACATGCTTGCTAGTCACATTCTGTGCACAAAGGAAGGGAAGATCTATATGCACTGGAGCCCAAACCATTGCTATTCATTGCAACAAAAAAGAGGGAAAAAACTATAATTGTAGTTGTAAACTAAATACAAAATTAATTTTACCACTTACAGTTCATTTCCCAATGTGGCTTTTTAGATCTGAGAGCCAGACATTGGTCAACCAACAGAAATCCGTGATGGTGAAGAAACCACATGGCGAAAGGTGACGTGGTCCATTGAGTTGACGACGATTCACTACTAAGGCAGCTAAGGAGACATTACATAAGCACTTGGATGCTTCAGGAATGCAATCAGATGTGTTCTCAAGAGAGAGTAGCAAGACATGGGTGTTTCTACAACATGGCCAATAAGAACACCTTATCTTCCTTCCCACTCACAAACAACTGATATCAAACCTTTCCCAGGTATTGATAAAGCAGACACTATGACAAGTTTTCAGCTTAGGAAGTCCTTCCTAGTGTCTAAGCAAAATCTTTCTATAGCAATTTAAGTTCAGTCTCTAACTCTCTCCTCACTGAAACCAAGAGAAGCTCCTCATCCTCCCTTCTCATTATTGATTTCCCCCCAAGCCTTTTCCTGTCTAAGCTAAACAACTCCCATGTCCTTCTAGGCTCTTTCATCATCCAAGGTTCTTACTGAGTTATGCAAACTGCTACTAGGGAACAATAAAGTTGCACCCCGGTCAGAGCACTGCCAATGCCCAGGCCGCTGACTCGCCTATAGCCAGCCCTTCTGACAGCCTCTGAGTCTGACCAGCATCCCTTACAGCAGGCATTCCAACCAAGCCCAGGGCTGCCTAGGAGCCCACTGACACTATGGGACTAGAGAGCCTTCCCCTCTTTGCTTTGCTCCCACTTCCCTGCCCAATCCTTTAGGAAAAGGGACCTCACTAACGGAATCCTCAATGGCAGCACAGATCCGTATGGCGTGGCAGAGAGTTTCAGAGAAAATGTCAGGAAGATGGGAAGCTGGGTCTTCAGTAGTGGCCGTTTTGAAGAGAAAGAGAAGGAAGAGGAGAAGTACCAACAGGAGGTGGTCTTCTGCTTCCACGTTTCCATGTGGCTGCTGGCATGGGGACAGCTGGATGCCCTCCAACACACACCACGATAACTGAATGCTTCAGCATGGCTTGGACGTGACCGAGGACAGGGTCGGATGTGACCGAGGACAGGGTCGGACTGGGTCTTGCTTCTTCTCTGAGAAATTTGCCTTCTGCTCTGTAACCAGAACTTCCCTGAGGCATCTCATGGCCCAAATCTTCCATCCGGCAAATACTTCTAGTTGAAGAGACTGAATAAAAGTGTTACAATTAGACAAGAAGGGAACACATGATTCATTCCTGCTTTTAACACAATGCTTTTGAAGATGTCACCACAATTTGGATCTGGCTATATTTTAAGTCCATTTACAAGTAGACTAATTCTCAACTAAAAATAACCATATGCGTTATACATTTTAACAGCTGCCTGGATTTTCCTCTGAAGGAAACAAGATCCTATATTTCACCCACATTCAGCACAGGTTTATTTTAACCCACTCAATGAAGAAATAACCAATTTCTCCTCAGAGCAGTCTTCTGAGTGCAACAGTCAGTACTATTCCCATTTTCCTGTCCAGTAAACTGAGAGCCAGAAACATGGCCTGCCAGATTGAATCTAGAATAACTAAGCTAGGTCTCCTCACTGCTACCCTACTGCTTTGTTTTTCTATTTAGTAAAGTTAATAAAACCTAAGAGCTTCCCTTCAGCTACCTGCCTACTTAAACCTAAATGGTGTTTGGACTAAATTATTCCATTTGGGTGCATAGTCTACCTCACTGTAGGCAAAGACACCTCAAGACCTTCCAGTTTCTTCATTAACCTGATTAAATTTGATCTATGCTATTGGCAAATGATACACAGAATTTAGTTTCCAAAATAAGAAAACATCTGCAATTCAATATTTTAAAATCTTTAGTTGGCGATAATTCTCATTATGGAATTGTATCTATACTATCAACACTATCTAAATATTGTAGCAATTTCCCAATTTGTGTGGTTGCAGTAAGCAGAGAAATGCTCTATAGGTTTTGAAATGGGGACTAGAAAGAAGATTAAGGGACTAAATAGATTAAGCAAATTTATATCCCCAAATAACTCCATCCTAACTTTGGCCTGTACAAATGTTCAGCTCAAAACAGCATTATCTGTTCAAATAGTTAGGAAACATCTTTACTATCTTAGGCTTACAGTCATTCTTGTGGGGTTAGTAGCAGTCTTAGAAGGGATATTTGTTAGACAAATTCAATTTTGCGAATTGAATTTGTCTAACGAATATATCTTTTACTTGCAACATGATTGCTATTTTTTAAAGCCAGAAATAAATAAAAATCAGCAATTATAGTTCTCTTTACCTCTTTTCCTTGGTATTTCCAGGGTTCATACTGAGAGCTTTCCAGACTGTGGTTTTAGGCATTTCATCAGATATATTAATCTCAGAGGGGTCACATCTGAAATGAATACTTAGGACAGTAAATGTCAGACACACAAATAAGATACATATCTCAGCCTATAATGACCGCCAAAAGGGAAGAGATGAGGTCTGAAGGGGTACAGCTAACAGCTCTTAGAGGCCTGGGATCCAGATGGTCGGATGTAGAGAGGCAAGGTGACCTATAAGGTGCTGGCTGCTGAGGGCGGAGCTGGTGTGCCAGGTGGTGGCCAGTCCTGCCCCCACAATCCTGCACTCCTTCGAGAGGCCCCTCTGGGGAAGCTGATGTCGGTGCTGTGATGCCAATGGTGGTGGCATCAGCTCCCACTTACTGTACCAGCCACAGGGCTACGCAAGCTTCATTCATCTTCTTACTTACTCAGCCAAATGTTTTACATTTGCAGTTAATAAAAGACTTATATTATCTTAACTATCACAGATTCAGAGATTATTAACATCCTTATTTGAAGACACAGAAACCAAAGCTCCCCGGGCTAATTGACCATCCAAGGTCAAATGTCAGTAAATGGAGAATCAAGACCTTGAATCCAGTCCTTCATTTCCTAGAACTCCAGAGTCCTCTGCCATTTTCTACAAGCCAAACATCTCCTTTCAAAAGGCCAAGAGAGCAGGCAATATCCTAACAGAGGAGGAACATTGCTCCTACTTTGCTGCCAAAGAATTCAAAGCCTATGGTTCCTTCTAGAACAACCTTCTAGAAAGTTTATTAAGGTCCAAAGACTCCATTCTTCTGCAATCAGTTAAAAAAAAAAAATCAAACTCATAGACCAGAGAGTAGAACGGTGATTACAAGAAGCTGGGAGAGGGGGAAAGGGAAGATGATGATCAAAGAATGCCAACTTTCAGTTATAAGATAAATAAATTCTGAAGACTATGCACATATGGTGAGCACAATGAACAATAATGTACTGTACATCTGAACTGTGCTAAGAAAGTGGATCTCAAGTATTCACACCACAAAAAAGAACGCTAACCATAGGAGGTGATGCATATGTTAGTTTGACTGTAGTAATCATTACATCAAAATATCACCTTGTACACCTTAAATATGTACTACTTTTATTTGTCAAAAATAAATATATTTAAAAATTTTTAAATGTTCAAAGAAAAGACTTTCCTCACTTCCCCTTCTGTATAAACACAATGAATTCAGTGACTCAGCAATAAATTATCCAGGATCCAGATGACCCAGATCCCCTCTCTTCCTTTTCTGCCCCTTCTTGACCTCCAGGCTTCTTTCAGCTGCGCGTCTCTCTTCCAGAGTGGAAACAAAATGCCAGGAACGAAACCACAAATGGACCCGTTTAGCTTCCTGTGACTTGTGGTGAGCAAAAGCTTCAATAGAGAAAGGGCTGATGGCACTGGCAGAGGGAAGGAATTTTGTGATCCCAGCTCAGTTCACAGGAGTGTGAATGCCATGAGCCCAGATGGAATGGGTGCTTCTGCCCATCCCCAAAGGCCCGCCTAACTGTGAGGATTTCATGCCCACCAGGCTGAGAACTCTCTGAAAACAAAGACCACATCCTATTCATCTTTGAAAAGCAGCAGAGGAAGGCAGAAGAAACACTGGGCTGAGGAGTGCAAAGACCAGGGTTTTGAATCTTAAACTTCTTACTTAGCAGCATTGTGACCTTGAGCAAATTACCTAAAACCCTCCAGGCCCCGGCGTTTTCACTGTACAAATGCGGATAATGAGACTTAGAGCAAAAAGCTGCTGTAAAGATTAGATGAGAGCACATACAGTAGTAAATCCTTTAGCGCAGTCCTGGCACAGGAGACGCTCAGTGCATGGGCTCCCTCAGCTCTATCCGCCTCGTGATTCCCAGCACCAGTCTGGTGCATCACACAAGGCTTGTCCCCAGTAAACCATGAAAGGAAAAGGTGTTTCCACATTTTCAAACAGGGAGGCTTGAGTGTTGGCTTTTTATGCCAGCAACTACAACTGTGACCCCACCCGACACACACACACACACACACACACACACACACACACACACACAGGCACGCACAGCCAGAACATTTACAGAACAATCAAAACAGTCAACCTCTTGTTATTCTACCTGAAACTGTTGTTCTTTTCAGTACTACTTAGTAACTTCCTGCTCTCTAAGGGGAACTTGTCTCTCTCCATTTCTATCATTTTCTCAGCCTCCTGCAAGAAAAGAAGACATTGTTATATTTTATAAAGTACAAGTTTCAAGTAAAACCATAAGTCTACACTAGTCCATTTTTTCTGTCACGGTAATTTCTACCTAATTTTTCGCACATTTACTATAAAAAAGAAAGATATAATTATGTTCTCTCTTACATTTGCCTCATCACAAAAAGAGAGACAACTAAATATTTATACCTATGGGATAGTATTTTTTTTTTTAAAATCCTGAATCTGAGGATTTAAACTATCAATTCCTGGAAACACAGGGGACAAACAAACATGTTAAATGACACCAAGGACACATTTAATAAAATCTAATTGGTGGGAAACCCTATAGGTCAAAGACCCAATTTCTTCAACAAAAACTAAAAAGGATAGAAGGATAATTCCTAAAAAGATTTAAGAAACATACTTGTCAAATTAGGCCTTTCGGGAGAACATAACCCATTAGATCTGATATAAGAGCAGATTCTGTGTTCATATTCTAAGTGTGAACCTGATGAATAGGCTAGATAAACAAAGGAAAAAAACAACTGGTTATCTAATCCAAAAATGAGGGACAGACAAAGACAAGAGTCCTCAATCCTCTCTCAGCTGAGAACAGCTCTGGAGGAATCTTCTCAGCTCCTAAATATGACACTTGGGATTCCAGACATGCTGACTTTTCATGTGGCCCTGCCTAGGTCCTGTAATTTGAGGCCGCCCTAAAGTATACAGTTGGTGCAAGAACTCTGACCTCTTCCTCCTTGGCCTTCTTTTTGGCATCGTCCAACTTCTTCTTTTTGCTTTCAGGCATGAGATCATCTAACCAGCTCAGCTCTCGCTTAGAGAAGCAGAGATCCATCACTTTCCTGACGAAGACCAAGGCCAAAACCTGAAGGAAAGTTAAAAAAAATAAATGAAAGGGACTCATTTACTTCCTGATTGTTAAAAGCACAATCTTATTTTCACAGCAGAATAGGAACTTCATGCAAAAATCAAAATCATAATAATCATTATAGTTGCCTTTTATTGACTGTCCTCTTTGTACCAGGTACTAAGGTGTTTTATATACAATATTTTACTTAACAATATTTTACTTAACTTTCTGAAGTCTAAAGTATGCACTGTTTTGAGCTACTGGGAGAGAGGAATAGGTTGGAGAGCAATTAATTTAATTCCCTCATTAAAAAGAGAAAACTCTTCATTTGTGGACGGCCCTAAGAGCTACTTCCCCTGGCGTGGGGCCAGCAGGAAGCATGGGGAACATGGCCACAGTGAACACAGCACAGCCTAAACACAGTGAACACAGAACATGAACACAGCACAGCCTAAGCATACTCACCATGGGGTGAGGGGAACTTGAGGGACTATCTGGATTCCCACCAATCCTTTGCCTATGCGTTTTCCCCACAAAATCCTTGCTTTATGCCCTGCATCATGAACTGTAGTGGTTTCTGTCTTGGTGCTCTGGTCTGATCTGATAGTCATTTTATAAGGCCCAGGGAGAGAAAATAACTTTTTTATGAGGCCCAGGGAGGGAAAATAACTTGCCTAAAATCTGACAGCTAATCGCCTTAGTAGGAACAGCTCAGGGTGCCTCATTTGCTGCTCCGTTTTTTCCCATAAGGGCCACTTCAGCCAAAGGAGAACAAATAACCCAGAATGACCTGCCTGGATTTAATGAGGTTCATCAGCTACCTCTGGTGGCTGGACAAAGAATGAGGCAAATCGAGCTTACGAAATTCAACCACATTTCTCCTGAATTTCTCTGACTACTTTCCCAATCGATCTAAAATGGATAGCATCCCTTCCGGGAGTTGCCAGGAATTTGCTACTTTTTTATCCAAACACTCAGCCCCTGAACTTAACACCCAAATGAGAACCCTACAGATATTCTGACAAAATTGAGAAGCCCATCAGGAGAGGAGACATCTAAGAGACTAGAGAGAAAGAGAGCCCCTCCAGTTTCCTAACCCTGAATATTCTCTCAGTAAGACAGGGTTCAAAAGTACCCAAACAAGTATCAAACACTGCCTTTTCTCTCTTGAGGCCCACCCTTTAATTAACTTTCAAACGGCCAACTGAATTCTCAGCTTCCTCATGACAGAGGGAGCCAGAGAGAAGGCATCAAGAGGCGGCGATGAAACAGTCAGGTGGCAAGAATTTCATCACCAGCCTAGATTTAGAAAACAGCTTGTCACCTGCACCACACACAGCTCACTTCCCAAGGCTGTCCCAGTCACTCAGTGTTAGACAACCTCTTCCTCTCTCCCAGTGGCTCAAAACAGTGCATTTCCACCACTTGAGAAACTCCTAATTGCATTAAATTATAAATTGGAACTCTACTGCTTTGAAGTAATGTGCAAATTATTGCAAACATGAAGAATCCTTTCCATGTCAGATTCACAAAAGAAAGTAAGGTGGGAGAGGGAAGAAGGAAGAAAGAACAGGCACACTGGTAGCCTGGAAAATAATCATGGCAAACTGTTACACACATGCACCCACACTTCAAGGTCCCCAGAATAATGTTGCTCCTCCAAAGACCAATCAAAACACAAAACCTCACCATCAATAGATATTAATATCCAGATTTTATAAAGAACTCCTTAAAAAACAAACAACCCAATTTAAAAAATGGGCAAACAACTTGAATAGGCATTCCTCCAAATAAAATATACAAATAGCCAATAAGCACATGAAAAGATGATCAACATTGTAGTCATTAGGGAAATACAATAAAAACTACAATGAGATACCACTTCACACCCATTAGGATGGCTATTATTTTTTAAAATATATTTTTATTGATTTTAGAGAGAAAGGGAGAGGGAGAGATAGAAACATCAATGATGAGAGAGAATCATTAATTGGCTGCCTCTTGCATGCTCCTCCCCCATCTCACCTCCCACTGGAGGTCGAGCCAGCAATGTGCCCTTGACCAGAATCGAACCTGGAATGGTTCAGTCCACAGACCGATGCTCTATCCACTGAGCTAAACCAGCTAAGGCAGGATGGCTGTTATTTTTAAAAATCCCCAAAACAGAAAATAAGTGTTGGCAAAGATGTAGAGAAATTAAAATTCTGTGCACTCCTGGTAGAAATGTAAAGTGGTGCAACCATTTCATGACAGTCCTCAAAAAAATTAAAAATGGAAGTACCATAGACCCAGAAATCCCACTTCTTGGTATTTACCCAAAAGAACTGAAAGCAGTGACACAAACAGGCATTTATTTCCTGGTATCATTATTCACAGAGTCAAGCATTGTTCACAATGCCAAAAAGGTGGAAGCAATCCAAGTGTCTATCGATAAATGAATAAACAAAATGTGGTCTATACGTAATGAAATATTATTCATTTTTTAAAAAGAAAGGAAATTCTGGCACATGTTACAACATGGATGAATCTTAAAGACATTATGAGTGAAATAAACAAATCACACAAGGACAAATACTACAGGGTCCCACTCAGATGAGGTAGCTAGAGTAGTCAAACGCAGAGACAGAGTAGAATGGTGGTTACCAAGGGCTAGTGGGAGAGAGGAAGGGGGAGTTACTGTTTTGTGGGCACAGAGTTTCAGTGGTGCAAGATGAAAAAAGTTCTGGAGGTGCATGGTGGCGGTGTGAATGCACTTAGAAATTAAGACGGTAAATGTTATGCTATGTACTTTATCACCATTTTAAAAATAAGTAACAATTTTTTAAAACTCACCATCATTGGGAAGACAATGGCGGCCGGCGACGCCTTGATGACCCAGAGCAGGACCAGGCAGGTGAGCTGGATGAGGGTGAAGAGGTGCACCTTGCGCAGCGGCACGTGGCGGAGGTAAATGAAGTCCGGCTGGTGCTTCGCGGGCATCCCAAAGAGCTTCAGCCGATCGAAGAACTGAAAGAAGGGGACTGGCATTTATTTTCAGGAGGTTTCTCTGGGTCAGAAACTTCTTAGGCAAATTCATGTCTCTTGCATCACCTGCTCTGAAAGGCAGGCAGTAACCATTTCCACCGGACAGAAATGGAAACCAAGTCTCAGAATAGGCAAGTTGGCAAAGGTTGGTAAGAGATGGAGTCAAATTTAAAATCCATCTTTTTTAAATCTAGGTTCAAATTCCTTTTTCCTACCCCACACTGTGGATCCTGAAAAGGCTCTTTCTCAGAGAGTACTGAAAATAAAATAAGCAATTGCGTCTTTCTATTATCAAAACGAAATCTCTTCTTGGCTATTGGAGGAGTTTGTTTATTTTATTATAAACAATAACTCATTATTGTTTATAGTAAAAATATAAAATGAAACATAACATTCTGGACATAGAAAGTATGACTATTCTTATATTATAAAATGCACACAAAAAAAGGCCCAGAGAGATTAAATAACCTGTCCACAGTCTTATTACAATTCAGTATATGAGAATGACCACTGGACATTCTTTAAAAAAAAAGAGGAACCAGCCACCAATAGGAGAAGCAGCTACGTCATTATATCACCTGTGTTAATCAGTGACAAGCTCCCGAGTTTCTCTGTTCAAAGAATTCAGAGGGATTAGCTGGCAGATGGGAACCGGCAGTGTGCCAGGAAGTACTATTTGCTCACCTGGAGCAGCTCCCACCATGCCCCAATCTCTTTACCAAAGTGCCCCCAGCTAAACCCGTCGCTCACACGTCAGCCTAGCACTGTCCATGTGTGGTTCTGGACCAGCACCTGACAAAGCACCTATTATTTAAAGTGTGCCTAATAATTGCCTGTTGAAAACTATAACAAATTACTGGAACCATGACATCAAGCCAGGCTACTCTGTAAGTCCCTGTACCCTCATGCCAGCATGCTTGTATTCTGCCCAAAGTTCAAAGAAACGTCAAAATAGCTTGCCCAGCAAGACTAGGGAAAGGTTTCTCAAGAACTCGTTGGTGCTGGAGCTGTCCCCCTCCCACACCCTAGCCCCCCGGTTAGGACATGTGAGCGCAGTGAGAAGACATTGCCCTGGCTGAGCCATACGGTACCTGAATTCCCTGTAGTGAAGAGACTCCCATGTAGAGGAAGACTCCATAGAGTACTGGCATCGGGATGAACTGAACATAAAGGGCAGAAAGACCAGAGATTACACTTGGTATCAGCACACTCAAGGCTATAACAACTTTTAAGTCTCCAAGGGGGAAGTCAAGTCACAAAATCACAATATAAACATTACATTAGTTTCTGCTGCCTTTTCATGATGTAGAAGTAGAGGCAAAACAATTTAACTGACAAAAACTCTTTTGTTCTGAAATGAAATGATTACACATAAGTGTAATATGGTCCTGGTTAAATTATGTCTTACCCATATTTGGCTCTTTCTCCTCTGTGGGGATGGACACACACACACACACACACACACACACACACACTTTTTTTTTTTTTTACTAGTTCGAGAGAAAAAGTGTGTGTTTTTTTCATTTTTTAAATGTTATTTTTTAAGTTGACATTCAATATTATTTTTAATTAGTTTCAGGTTTACAGAATAGTGGTTAGACAATTATATAATTTATGAAGTGATCCCCTTGATAATTCTAGTACCCACCTGGCACCATATATAGCATATATAGTAATTACAATATTATTGACTATGTTCCCTATGCTATACTTTTATACTCTCGCGACAATTTTGTAACTACCTATTAGTACTTAATACCTTCAGCTTTTTCTCCCTGCCCTCTCCAACCTCTACCCATTTGGCAATGCTCAGTTTATTCTCTGTATCTATGAGTCTATTTGTGTTTTTTTGCTCATTTATTTTGTTCTTTAGATTCTATATATCAATATATAAGTTAAATCATATCATGTTAGTCTTTCTCTATCTGAATTATTTTGCTTAGCATAATATCATTTAGGTCCATCTATGCTGTTGCAAATGGTAAGATTTCATTCATTTTTATGGCCAAGAAAGATTCCATTATATATATGTCCTGCCACTTTTTTATCCATTCATCTATTGATGGGCACTTGGGTTGCTTCTTTATCTTGGTTATTGTAAATAACACTGCAATGAAATAGGAGTGCATATATCTTTTCAAATAAGTGTTTTAGAGTTCTTCAAACAATACTCAGAAGTGGAATCACTAGGACATAAGGCAGTTTCATATTTACTTTTTTGAGGACCCTCCATATTATTTTCCACAGCTGCTGCACCAATCTACATTTCCACCAACATTGCAAGAGGGTTCCCTTTTCTCCACATCCTCACCAATATTTGTTGTTGGTTGATTTCCTGATGCTAGCCATTCAGTGAAGTGGTATCCCACTGTGGTTTTAATTTGCATTTCCCTGCTGATCAGTGCACTGAAAATTTTTTCATATGTCTGTCTAAAAAGGACATACAGAATCCATTTTTAATTGAATTGTGTGTGGTTTTGTGTGTGTGTGTGTGTTTTGGGGTTTTTTGGTGTTACATTTTATGAGTTCTTCATAAATTTTGAATATTAACCCTTTATAGGATGTAAAATTGTCAAATATCTCTTTCCATTCAGTAGATGTCTTTTCATTTTGTTAACTGTTTCTTTTGCTGTGTAAAAACTTTTTATTTTGATGTAGTTCCATTTGTTTATTTTTTTCTTTTGTTTCCTTTATCTGAGAAGATATATCAGAAAAAGTGTTTCTAAGAGAAATGTCAGTGTTTATTGCCTATTTTTTCTTCTAAGAGCTTGATGGTTTCGAGTCTTGCATTTAAGTCTCTCATCCATTTTGAGTTTATTCTTATATACTAGAGGCCTGGTGCACAAAATTTGTGCACAGGCAATGTGTCCCTCAGCTCAGCCTGCACCCTCTCCTATCTGGGACATCCCTCTCACAATCCAGGACTATTGGCTCCTAACTGCTTGCCTCTCTGCCTTTCTGATTGGCCCTAACCACTTTTGCCTGCCAGCCTGATCATCCCAAACCACTCCCCTGCCAACCTGATTGATGCCTAACTACTCCCCTGACAGCCTGTTTGCCCCTAACTGCCCTCCCCTGCAGGCCTGGTCACCCATAACTGCCCTCCCATGCAGGCCTGGTCACCCCTAACTGCCCTTCACTACAAGCCCAGTCCCCCACAACTGAACTACCCTGCAGGCCTGAGTCTTCCCCAAACTGCCTTTCCCTGCAAGCTTGATCACCTCCAACTGCCCTCCCTTGCAGGCCTGGTCTCTCCCAACTGCCCTCCCCTGCTGGCCATCTTGTGGTGGCCATCTTGTGTCCACATGGGGGCAGCCATATTTGACCACATGAAGGCAGCCATCTTTTGTGTTGGAGTGATGGTCAATTTGTATACTACTCTTTTTTTAGATATGATTTAGGTCTCCTGCACAGGTAGGGGCCAGCTGGTTTGCCCTGAAGGGTGTCCCGGATCAGGGTGGGGTTGTGGGGGAGCCTGTGGTGGTTTGCAGGCAGGCCATGCCCCGCGGCGACCCAAGCAGAGGCCCTGATATCTGGGATTTATTTATCTTCTATAATTGAAACTTTATAGCCTTGAGCAGAGCCAAGTCTCCTGCTTGCTCCATGACCACAGTCATTTTTGGTGAGATTTATCTTTTATAATTGAAACTTTGTAGCCTTGAGCAGAGGCCAAGGCAGGCCAGGGTGTGCAGAAAGCTTCCTCCATTGCCGGGGAAACCCAAGCCTCCTGCATGCTCTGTGGCTGCAGCCATCTTGGTTGGGTTAATTTGCATATTCCATCCTGATTGACTGGTGGGCATAGTTTGTGGGTGTAGTGGAGTGATGGTTAATTTGCATATTACTCTTTTATTAGATAGGATGGTGTAAGAAGGTGGTCTACTTTCCTTTTTTGCTTGTATCTGTCCAATGATACAAATGCCATTTCTTGAATAGATTGTCTTTACCCCATTGTATATACTTTTTTTGTGTGAATATGTTTATTGATTTTAGGAAGAGATAAAGGGAAAGACAGGGAGGGAAGGAAGGAGGGAGGGAAAAAGGGAGGAAGAGTAAACAGGAGTGCAAACAGACAGCTCTTTCAAGGGGTCTCCTCCTCCTACTCGCCCCTTACTGGGGATCGAGCCCACATCCCAGGCATGTGCCCTGAATGGGAATCAAACCAGTGACCTTTTGGTACATGGGACAACCTTCAACCAACTGAACCACACTGGCCAGGACCACATTCTTGCCTCCTTCGTAATATATTGGCCATATAGGAGTAGGTTTATTTATGGACTCCCTCTTCTGTTCCACGGATCTATATGTTTTTATACCAGAACCATACTGTTTTTATAACTATAGTCTTGTAATATAGTATGATGTCAAATAGCATAACTCCAACTTTTTCCTCCTTTCTCAAGATTGTTGTGGGTATTTCAGGACCTTTTGTGGTTCCATATAAATTTTTTTGGATTATTTGTTCTAATAGTTCTGTGAAAAATGCCATTGTTATTTTGATAGGGATTCACAGACTATAGATTGCTTTGGGTAGTGTAAACATTTTAACAATGTTAATTCTTCCTACCCTAGAGTGCCAGTATATGTTTCCATTTATTTATATCTTCTTCAATGTCTTATAATTTTCCAAGGACAGATCTTTTACTTTCTTGGTTAAATTTACTCCTAAGTACTTTTTTTATGCAATTATAAATGGGATTGTTTTCTTAATTTCTCTTTCTGATAGTTCATTATTGGACATACACTTCCCTCTTTTATAAAACTGATACTTCTTATTTTATTTTTTATTACAGTTTGCATTCAACACTTCCTTTTAGCTTCAAGTATATAACATAGCAGATAAAAATTCATATAGGTTACAAAGTGTTCTTTCTGATAATTCAAGTGCCAACCTGCACTATAAATAGTTATTGCAATATTAATTATATTCCCTACTAGAGTCCTGATGCACGAAATTGTATGTGGGGCAGGGGGTGTCTCTGAACCTGGCCTGCACCCTCTCCAATCTGGGGGGGATGTCTGACTGCCAGTTTAGGCCCGCTCCTTCCACAATGGTTGAGGCCTGGAGATATGGCCACAGAGGTCCCTTTTCACCCCATTTTTCCCAGATACAGGTCTTCTACCCGCACAAAAACATATTTCCTCATATTTAAGTTATCTTCCCACTTTCCAAAAATCCCCTTTCCCACATTTCACACCAGCCACTGCCCATTTTTCTGCTCCACTTCATAGAAAACCCCCTTGAAAGAGCTGTCTGTTTGCACTCCTGTTTACTCTTTAGTCCCTGTAACTCAGCTTTTGCCCTTTTTTCCTACTGTATCTGCTCTTATCAAGTCACGTTAGGCCTCTGTGTGGTCCCAATGGTTTTGGTTTAGTCTTCATCTTTCTAGACAGTCTCCAACTAACCCCTCCTGTTTGAAACACTCCCCTCACATGGCATCCTGACACTATACCTTCCCGGTTTCCCTACCTCTGGCAGCTCCTTCAGAGTCTGTTGCTGTCTCCTCCTTTACCCAACTTCTAAATTTGGAGCACCTTCTATTCTGCTCCTGCTTCCCTTTTATATTTACCTTCTCACTGAGAGATCTATCTACTCCCTTGGCTGTCAATGACACCTATGTGCTGTGATGCCCACATTCATGTCTTTAGTTCAGAACCCTCCTCTAGCCTCTTCACTCAGATGCTTCCTGAACATCTTATCCCAAGTCTGTCCACAGCCTTGCCCCTGACGAAATCACTTTCTCCTTCAGGCAGTCTTCTCTATCTTAAATGCCATCTCCCTCAGTCCTGTATGAAAGGAGAGAGGGTTAGCACTCCCCTTAACAAAGATGGAAGAGTGGACAGTGTTGAGCTCCAACCTCAATTCCAAGTTAGGCACATGCCCGGGTTGTGGACTCAATCCCTGGTGGTGGGCATTTAGGAAGAAGCTAATTGATGACTTTCTCTCATCATTGATGTTTCTATCTCTCTCCCTCTCGCTTCCTCTCTCTGAAGTCAATAAAAATATATTTTAGAAAAGATGGAAGAGGCTCTAGAACCTAACAACATGCTTATGCTTAAGGCATTGCCATCTACTTAAATGCCATCACTCTCCACCCAGGGAGTCAACATTTTTACTTTTTCATTTTTCTCATTCCATTCTACATCCAGCAAGACCTTTGGATCTACCTAAAAAATATACAGAAGCCATTCCTTTTATCCATCCCTACTACCAACTTCCTTAGCCAAATCATCATAATCTCTTACCTATAATAGCCTCACTGTTTCTCTACTTCTATTTTTTCCCATCCCTAAAATTTAGTCTAATTATCAGCTAGAGTAATCTTTTAAAAATACAAAATGGATCATGTCCCGCTCCAGTTAAAACCCTTTAAAGTTTACCTTTACTAGTATCAACAAGGCCCTGCATGATCTGCCTCTGCTCACTCTTCAGTCTCATTTCACTGTGTTCTGCCTTGACTCAGCATCCTTGAGCCACATGGTCATGATGTTTCCTGGAACATTTATCATTCTTTCACCCTAAGAGCCTCACTAGACTGCTTTCTCCCTTTCCCTCTGCCGTCTCCCGCTGTCCATCTCGCCTTAAATGCCATCTCCTTAGAGAGGCCTTTTCCAACAACATTAACTGAAAAACAGTACCCCTGCAATTCTATATAGCACCATAGACCACTATATTTTTCCTTTTATCACATATATTCTCTAATTATTATGTTTGTTTTCTTTTGGTTTTTATTTAAGGTTTTTAAAAATTATTTTTAGAGAGAAAGGAAGAGAGATAGAAAACACTGATAAAAGAATTAACATTGATGGTCTTTACCCTGACTGGGAATCAAACTGGCAACCTTTTACTACACAGTCCTGCAGCCAATCAACTGAGCCATCCAGCCAGGACTTATTTGTTTTCTTAATTAACTTTTTTTTAAATATAAGATTTTTTTACAGAAAGGAAGAGAGAGGTACCGTATTTTTCGGACCATAAGACGCTCCGGACCATAAGACACACCAGTTTTTAGAGAAGGGAAATGAAGAAAAAAAATTCTGAAACAAATAGTGTCCTAAAATATTTTATGTGCATTAAAACCCAACATCACAGTCATAAACACATGTAATCAACCCTGTAAAGTAAACAGCAGCATTTAGAACTATTTTAGAGCCAGGCAAGCACACAGAGACCACACAGAGCCGGGCAAGTAAAAAAACTTTTTTTTAAAAGTATATTTGTAGGCTATATTTGGACCATAAGACGCAGGTACTTTTTCCCCCCACTTCTGGGGGGGAAAAAGTGCGTCTTATGGTCCGAAAAATACGGTACAAAGAGTTAGAAACATGGATGAGAGAGAAACACCCATCAGCTGCCTCCTGCACATCCCCTACTGGGGATGTGACCACAACCAAGGTACATGCCCTTGACCGGAATCAAACCTTGGACCCTTCAGTCCGCAGGCCGACTCTATTATATATCCATTGAGCCAAACCAGTTAGGGTTTTAATTGACTTTCTTAACCACATCTTATCTACCTTATCCAATTAAAATATGCTATTTCTTATTTTCAAAACAGGCACTCAAAATATTACCTAAGGAATAAATGAATGATTACCTTTAATATAGTTGTCATGAAGACTGAGCATCCCATCAGCACAAAAATCATAAGGCCTGTCACTCTCTGTTCTCGGATGCCCAAGAACTTGGGCTGTTCCCCAGGAGCGGAGCACTCAGATTCCAGTTTGAGGCTGTTCACATGTGTGATGGACAGGACAGTTGCAGCCACAAACCAAGGCAGGCCCATGATGGAGCAGACACCCAGCATGATGGCCACCATGAGCAGGTCCAGGTGGTAGCCACAGCCTTTCTGTAGGGAAACAGAGTCTCCGTCACCATCGGTTGGGCATAGAACAGTGAGCTAAGAGTAGTCCAGCCCCTTCTGGCTTGGAGGGAACAGAGAAAAAAAGGGAAACTTTAGCTTGTTCAAAATATGCCAATGTCCATTCTTTATGCAAGTCCCCCCAGATCTCACTCTGAGTCTCACACATTCAAATATTCATCCTTTCTTGGAAGAGTAACCAGAGATCAAGCCACATCTTGACCATTCTAGATGGTAGACATTATAGAAGTTAAAGATAAGTGTCCTTATTGGGTTCCAGATCCTTGCTAAATTGGTGTTAAGCAAGGAAAGTACAGAGATGATTACATTAAGTCTCTTAGTAATACATACATTGGAACTTACCCTACCTATGTATGATTCTTTGAGCTTAAGGTTCAGTCTAGAAACCCTAGTAATGGGAGAATCACGCCCTGACCTGAACCTCAAGAAGATAAGCCTGACCCAGAGCAAGTGGCTATATAAGGACCACTAGGAACTCTGCCAGTCCAGCTTCCCCATAGGTTTGGATAGAGAGTAGTGGAGCCCAAGCTTCTTTTGTATCATACCATTGTACTCCACTCTTAAGAGCTCCTTCCATGACTTCTTTTATACAGGTGCTACAGGTCTAAATGAATTTACCCTAATTTTTTTTTTTTAAAGTAATAGGATGCCATTAATCCTTCTCGGTCAGAATTTTTTTTTAATTAAATTATTATCTTTGTTGGTCAGAATTTTTTGTTACCTTGAGCTTGTGTTCCTTTCTGTTAATGATAACAGCTGTGATCTGCTGGTCCATGAATATTAAGATAGTGCAGAGAAGAGCTGGGATAATTGCGGCTATCCCGGTCCACCAGGGATTGGGGCCAATGGGACTAATAAGCCACCCTCGATCATCCCTTGTTGGCTAAAGGAAAAAACAAGGTTTTATTTTTGTATTTTAAGTTAACTATAGTCATTAGGGCAAAACAGATCAAACTGAATCACAATATCCACAGCTCGTTTATTCCTAATGAGAATACTTAAAAAAAAAAAAAAAAAAAAAAAAAAAAAAAAAAAAAAAGAAAGAAAGAAAGAAAGAAAGAAAGGGAAAAAAAAAGGCATGAATACAGTAACTTTTTTCCAAGTATAAGCTCTATATACTTGAAAAACAGATTTTTACACATTTCCCTTACTCACTTCTCTTTACTTGGGTGCATATATGCTTCCTTATATATATGAAAGAATAGGGGTGGGGAAGAGATTAACCAAAGAATTTATATGCATATAAACATAACACATAGACACAGACAACAGTGCCATAGGCTTGGGGTATGGAGGGTAGAAAGGGTCAACGGGGGAGGCGGGGAGGGGGACATCTGAAATACTTTCAACAATAAAAATAAATTTTACAATAAATTAATTAAAAAAATAAAAAAGTTAAGTTGCATTAATGACAATAAATAATACTTTTTGTTCATTAAATGAACTTAGGCTTGCTCTTTTCTGACTTGAACTTAGCCAAGCCTGATGAGTTCACTTTTCTGAAAAGGAAGGCATAAAGAGCAAGGCTCAAAGAGGACTGAAAAACTCAGCATTTAGGATATGGAAAGAGGCCTTTGAAATTAACTCCAAAGCAGATACTATGAGGTACCAAGTACCCTGAGATCTGTTTACCTTGAACACACTTGGAACTTGAAGTTTTGGTGATGGGACTCCAATCAAAAAATCAATGATCACCATTGTGAAGATTGTGAGGAAAACGGCAAAGTCACTCACCATGGAGCGCACCTGGCATGCAAAAGAATTAGAAAAGTGTTTTAGTAGGATGAATGCAGTAGAAAGGAATTTAATATTGTAAAAGGTTTAACAATTCTCAGAGGAGAATGCTTTAATCTTATACTTGAATTAATACAAGCATATTTCAACAACAGGAATATGCTAATATGCCCAAGTTAATGCCTCCATCAAAACCCCGAAATGGTTGCTCATTTCACTGAGTTAAAAACCAAAAGGCCCTCTTGGCCTATGAAACCCATACTCACTGGCATCATTACCTCTCTGAACCCAGCTCCTAATGCTCTGCTCCAGCACACAGACCTCCCTGTTGTTTCTTAGCCATGCCAGACTCACTCCCACCCGAGTCTTTGAACTTACTCATCCCTCCATCTCCAATGCGTTTTCTCCAGTAATCTCTTGGGTCGCTCCCTTACCTCCTTTAAGTTCACTCAAATATGACCTTCCTGAGATCTTCTTTGATGACCCTACTTAAAATTGGTTGCCACCTGCCTCCCCCGCTCTTCCTATATGCCTTTCCTGCTTTATTTTTCTCCGTAGCATTTATCACCATTTTTTCCTAAGAGGACTAACCCACTTTATAGTTTAGTGTAGCTTTAATAAATACAATGCTTCTGAAATGCTCAGTGCCTGTCTTAAGCTGAACTTCCAACAGAAATAGAGGAAATATATCTCAGCCATGTTGAACATCATGAACTCCTATTAGCTTCTCTCCTCTGAACTCCTATGGCACTTACATCCAACTCTTTACTATTGTCTCATATGATCTGGTTGTTTCATGTTTCCACTTCCTATCCAATCTTTTGCATCCGCTATAGCACTTACCCAGACCTAAGCAAGTAGTTAGTACATAATTGTCATTTGTTCACCATTCATCCAGACTGGAAACAATGAACCAGAGCATATCTAATATGTATCTCCTTAATTACTGTGTAGATCCACTGAAGTCTAAGAATGTTTTAGTGATGTATGTGTGTACAGTAAATAGCCAATCAACTGGCCCCTTTCCCCACTCATACATCCTGATCTGCAAATGTGCCTGATTGAAACCTCACAGAAAAACTACCAATTCCTCCTGAATAAAGCTCCTTTTCAAAGCAATAGCCCCTCCAGCCACTCTAAACTTGGCCTATAATTCTGTCCTACCATACTGGGCATGACACACAGTGTCATCTGCATCAAGGCGAGGTCATTGAGGCTTCCAACATACAGGCAAACCACGTCAGGAGCGTTCTCACTGCTGCAGCCAATTTAACAGTGATTCACAAGCTATTACAAGGGCCATTCCTGAGAGGAGACTTTGGGATCCCCTACCTAATGCAAAGCAATTAGTCCCAATTAATTAGATTAAGTAGCCAGCTCTAATTATTGCATTCTAGAAATAAAACTTAATAGCAATTCAAAAGGGAAACTTAGTAGCTGTTAGAGAATACTACTCCACCTTAAACTCACCTGTGGCTTTTAAATCAAAAATATTTTACGTATTAACTCCTCATTCCACACCACACATCTCTGAAAGGGGCTGCTGGACACTAGAAGAAGAGATGCTGCAGTGTGGCTCCAGGACATTTAAAATTCTCCACCTGCCACTCTACTCAGCAAGTAGCATGGAGTCTGTTATATTAGGACCAGAGACCTGGTGAACGACATTACTGGGGGAGGGGGTCCCCCAGCCTGGTCTGTACCCTCTCGCAGTCCGGGACCCCTCGGGGGGTGTTCACCTGCTGACTTAGGCCCGCCCCCCACGGAGCCAGCCATGAGCCTGGCTCAGGGCTTCTGGCTGAGTAGGGAGAGCACACTGACCACCAGGGGGTAGCTCCTGCATTGAGCCTCTGGTCCCTCCTGGTAAGTGCACATTACAGCAACCAGTTGTTCCACCGTGAGGTCGATTTGCATATTAGCCCTTTATTATATAGGATTCTAACACAAAAGAAATGTACGAACATGCTACCTACTCTGGTTGGGAAATAGCGGCTTGTCTTAAATGTCTTTAAGGTGCTTGAAAGGATGAAGGTGGTGAAGAAGAGAATGCAGGACCAAAACAGCACATCAGGAGTATAGGGTCCGTGATGGCCACATGCAGGTCCTGTGAACTCTCCATGCATCTCCTGGCATTCCTGGAGAAACAAACATTCTGGATAATGAAAAGCAGGCAAGAGGGAGTAACTGGTGGCTGCCTTCTGAGTCCACCACTCACTGCCAGCATCATTAACCTCCCTGCAGCTGTGTGGTTCTCACTTGCATGGGCCCCTCCCAGGTAGGGTGCCTACTTATGGTCTCAACTAAGATATTTAACTTTTTTTTTTCCAGAGGGAGGGAGAGGGAGAGAGAGATAGAAACATCAATGATTAGAGAGAATCATCGATTGGCTGCCTCCTACATGCTCCCTGCTGGGGACTGAGCCTGCAACCCAGGCATGTGCCCTGCCTGGGAATCAAACCAGGTTCATAGGTCAATGCTCAACCACTGAGTCACACTGGTTGGGCCAAACTAAGACACTTTCAAAAATAAAACCAGAACTGTTTAAAGAAAACACGAGGTTCTAAGAGGGCCCTAGCAATCTGTGCTATTTTTATTAGAGAGTCCTTGCTGATCTGAATGTCCTTCAAGCTCCATAAAATCGGAATCTGCTCCCCAACCTGCCTGGTTTCATCCCCACATATCATTTCTGCAGGGTCACTGGATAGGGGGTAGCTACTGCATGTGGAGAGAAGTAAGAGATAATATTCTTTTATCTTTATGTGCAAGGGGGAAGTCAGTAAGAATAGTTTAAAAGAAGGAAAATGCTTTATTATGTAAATGCCAGAGCTTGTTAAAGGGCTACCTGCTTCTACCTAGAAGACTCCCTTAAACCTGGTAGTCACAATGCTAGGCCATCTGGCAGCTCCCAGACTTACAGTAACAGTCAGGTTAGCCCAGTGGACTTCTGTTGTCACGATGTTTTCGTCCTTCCAATACTGCAGTGTGTGATTGTTTGGATTCTCTGGGACAGTACACCTGCAGCTGGAGGGGGGAAAAAGATTCCTGAGGAAAGCAGCCAACTATTCAATAAAGTATGGTTAGCTATGACTGGGCTAAAGGCTTTAGTATCAGAGCCTGCTTTGCTTCTCCTTTGCCCACTTCAGATTCCTGAGGTTGGTTCTACTGGATGAGGCCCAACCACACCCTGATTGTTCAGTCAGTCATTAATAAAGATGGACTCAAATTAGTGTGTGGGTTTTGGATTCTGTTGTATCAACAACCAAGCTTAGCATCTGATGCACTCAGAAAGAGACATGGAGGTTTCTTAGTTTCTACCTCTTAGGCTTGCCCTGTGGAATTGGACAAGCTAATATACATAGCAAGGAGGACATGGTAACCCACTCTGCTCCCAACAGTTTTCTCTAAAGCTGGATGCCTTGCTCCCTATACCCGTCACACTATTGCTCTAAAATTCAGAGTCTCCAGGAACTGTGATGTAAGCTCTCCTAACACTGTGACATCCCTAGTAATCCACTATCTTGGCCATTCCCTGGCTTCCCAGGTCTCTTCCTCTATCTAAACAGACCAGACCTGTCCCATGGCCACCATGCCTCCTCCCAGTTTCAGCATGCTTTGTGCCTGAACTGGCTCCCTGTACATTCAACTAACATAATCATTCCCACCAACTTTGTTTCATATAAGAATCTAATGAGCATGTCTTCTAAGGATACAGCATAAACAGAATTAAAATTCAAAAAGATCTCAACAGTTTACAAAATAGAAGGAATCAACAAAATGAAAAGTGATATGGAAATCTATATAAAGTCCTAGATTTAAGTTTTTAAAAAAATCAATTCAAACTTTGGAGCAACAGAGATGTCCTTCAGTAGATGAATGGATGTACTTTAGTATAGTTACACAATGGACTATTATTCAGTGCTAAAAAGAAAAAAACCTAAGGATCCTTCAATGGACTATTGAATAAGGAAGATGTGGTATAAGTATACAATGGAATACTACTCAGCCATAAGAAAGTATAAAATACTGCCATTTGCTACTACATGGGTAGATCTTGAGAATATCATACTAAGCAAAATAAGTCAGACAGAAAGAACCACATGATTTCACTCATATGTGGGATATAAAATAAAAATTAACAGGTGAACAAACAAAACCAACAAATGAATTCATACGCATAAACAACAACATGGTGGTTACAAGAAAGGGATAGGAGTGGGGAGGATGAATAAGGTTAAAAGGGGTCCAATGAAGGATAGGGCAAAAGTAGGTTTATAGTTGTGAGTACCTGAAACACAGAGTTTATTATTTATTTATTATTATATCATTGCTTATTAATTATTGTATTATTTTCTACTAGAGGCCTGATGCATGACATTCGTGCATGGGTAGGGTCCCTAGGCCTGCCAGGCGATCAGGGCTGATCTGCAGGGCTACTGGCCTCCCCATTCTCCGCCCCACCCCACCCCCAGCACCTGCCTGGGGCCTATGGGCTGGGGGCAGCTCCTACATTGAGCGTCTGCCCCCTGGTGGTCAGTGTATGTCATCGTGACCAGTTGTTCCCCCAACCCAGTTTGGTCATTTGCATATTAGGCTTTTATTATATAGGATATGAACAACTATTAATCTACTTTTGCTCCACTCTATATATGGTGACAGAAGGAGCCTAGATTTTGTTTGGGTAGTAAGTACTCAATGCAATATATAGATAATGTATTATAGGATTGTACACTTGAAACATATAATTATTAATCAATGTTACCCCAATAAATTTAAAATTAATGAATTTTAGTCCTGGCCAAGTAACTCAGTTGGTTAGAGCACTGACCCAATATGCCAAGGTTGTGGGTTCAATCCCTAGCCAGGGCACATATAAGAATCAACCAATGAATGTATAAATAAGTGGAACAACAAATTGGTGTTTCTCTCTCTCTCACTCACTCTCTCTCTCTTCCCCCTCTATCCCTCTAAAAAATAAAATAAAATTAATAAAAATTTAAAATATAAATTTAAAAAATGAACTACCAAGCCAAAATACATAGAAGACCTTCAAATGCAAATTACTAAATGAACAAAGCCAATCTGAAAGCCAAATATTGTATGATTTTGCCAAACTGTATGACGTTGTGAAAGACAGTACAAAGATCAGTGGTTGCCAAGGACTGGGGTGGTAGGGTAGGATGAAAAGGCAGAGTACAAAGGATTTTTAGAGCAGTGAAACTACTCAATATAAAACTATAATGATGGAATGCTCCCGTACATTTGTCAAAACTCACAGAATGTATAACACCAAGAGTGAACCCTAATGTAAACTATAGACTCTGGGTAATATTGATATATCAATGTAAGTTCATTGATTACAACAAACGTACCACTTTGGTATGGGATAGTGATAGTGGAGAAAGCTATGCATATGAGGGAGCAGGAGGGTATATGGGAACTTTCTGTACTTTTTGCTCATTTTTGCTGTGGACCTGACTAAACCTGCTCTTTTAAAAAATTACATTTAAAAAATCAGTTCCACACATATTAACATAAAGTAATTTAAAGAGTTGGGAAGTTCTAGCTTCACATCAGCTCCATATGAACCAATAATAGAATGCAAATAATAAAAACACCATTTGAGCTTTATTAATAAAGAACTACAGTATACAGACCCAAAGTCTACTTAGGGTAGGGCTGATTACTTCTTCTGTCTTCTCCCACTTAGATACAAGTTTCATGAGGATAGATCCTTTGTCTATCATATTCATCACTTTTTCACGGGCCTAAAACAGTGCTGGCAAATAAATGCTCAGCAAAGACTTGTTAAATAAATAAATTATTTTTTTTTTTTTAAAAAAAAGGTCAAAGAATGGATTTACTCCATTGCCAATAGGCAATTCAGAGCTCCAACACCGAATGGCAGTCCATTAGGCTTCAAAGATTATACTCCCTATTGGTTGTTATTTTGTGATAAAACAATTTTTAGAAATTCTAATAAATTTTGATTCTTTTGGGTTGACAAACAGATAGTTAGAATCTACAAAAGTGTAGTTGTTGATAGCTAGCAGACACCTCCATGCAGTGCGCTCTATCCACCAAGGCAGTTTCAGGTGGAAATTGTCCACTTCACAACCAGACCCTCTGTATCAGAACTGTACTGCCAGAAAGGAGGGGACTTGAGGCACAGAGCTAGAGCTGAAGGATGAAAGTCTTTAGTTACCATTTGGAGAATACTATTCCAGAGGAGAAAGGTCGTATAGGACCAGACTCTTCTTGATGGTTGAAAACACAGACAAATACTACTACTCTTTGGCCTCAATGCCTGGAACCAAAAGACATGCTTGGAAAGCATTGCTCAACTTCCATCTTAGTCCATCTTGACTATTCTCCTCTGGCAGGAGTCTCCACATCCATACCTTAGCTCTGTTTCCCAAAGGGCCAAGACATTCCATAACAGAAGGTGTAAGCACTGCCTGGCATAATACACTATACAAGCCATTGAACTCAGGCCCTTTGCTCAATTAAAAAAAAAAAAAGAAAGAAAGAAAGACTTGCAGAAGCATACTTACTAGTACAGGCTAAGGTGGTCCAGCTGGCTGTGCATGTGGATGGGATAGGTCTCTGCCAGGTGAACCAGCTTTTCTATTGCTTCATAGATGAAAATAATGCAAATTAAGGAAGCAAATGCTTCTTCGGTGAAGCGAGTAATGTAGCAGACAAGGGAACTGGCATCAGTTGCCACAAGAACAATACATAAGAAGGCGGTCCACAGTCCAATACAAGCACGCAAGGAGAGATATGAAAGAGCATAGTCTCTGAAACAAGACAAAAGTTCATCAAAAAGCATGGATGGATGGCATGAAGAGACAAAGGCTCAGAAACATGGTTACTTCATCTCATTTTATCTATACCAGTATTGCAACCCAATTTCTCCCTAATTCTGACTGTGTTTCGCTTTTAAATGCTGCCTTGGGACAGTTGTGACACAGATTTGCTTCATGGGTAGTATCTGCTATCACAAGAACATGGAAAAATGGAGAACTGTCCCACACACATTTCTGCCATTACTGCCGAATGCGATTAATATCTTATTATTAAAGTTAAGACAAAAAAGCTGGCCCAGCTGGTGTGGCTCAGTGGTTGAGCATCAACCTATGAATCTGGAGGTCATTGGTCTATTCCCAGTCAGGGTACATGCCCATGGTGTGGGCTCAATCCCTTATAGGGGCCGTGAAGGAAGCACCTCATCAATGAGTCTCTCATCATTGATGTTTCTCTCTCCCTTCCTCTCTGAAAATGTATAAAATGTATAAATATAAAAAAGAGCTATATAGCTCTTGTTCCATATGCTCCTATTTCTAATACAAAAGTCTATTTAAAAACCAGTTCTAGGAAAAATAGGGAAATTAGGGCATTGCAATCAGAATATAAAAGGACATATTAGGCCAAATTTAAAACTGACTTGAAATGGAAATGGAAGAAGTCTGAATTAGCTAGGGAAATTTTTTTTAAAGATAAAGTGATGGTGTGGCTCAGTCTCAGTCGGTTGGAGTGCTGTCCCATACACCAAAGACTGTCGGTTTGACTCCTGGTCAGGGCACATACCAAGTTGCAGGTGCGTACAGGAGGCAACCAATCTATGTTTCTCTCTTTCTCTCTCCCCTCCCCCTCTATAATCAGTAAAAACATATCCTCTGGTGAGGATTAAAAAAAAAAAAAAAGACTAGGAAATCTTCTGTTTCAGGTATGGTACTACTTGGAGGCACGACAATAAACCAAATGATCTTCATTCTTCAGGTTTTTACCGGCAAGAATGATGTTTGCCTACTTATATATCTAAGACCCTGGCATTCAAGCCTAATAGCCCAATAACACATCCATTAGAGTCTTCAGTAAACCAAGTATCTTACTTGCAGAATTTGAACAAAATCTTTTCAAACACAAGCACTGGCCCAGTGCTTCCCAGTATGGTGAGAGCCTGTCCTGCAAACAAGGAGTAGGCAATCCCAGTCATGGAGGCTCCGAACAAGGATTCAATTGCACTCTGAGAGGGGAAAAAAAAAAAAAAAAAAAAAAAATCACTGAGTCCACAGCCCATCTGCAATGAGTCATGTGGGCTTATGTACATTCCTGACTTAGTTCTCATGCACGCCCCAACGAATCATTTGCTTGTATTTCATCTTAGCAAGAGTGATGTGTACACACTGTCTAATACTCCTGTAAATGGCATCACTTTGATAATTCAGAAGCCCAAATCCATCCACACATGGTTCCTTAACTAAGTCCTGTTCTACAGTGACTCACTTTAGTATTTAACAGATTTAGAAAGCACAGTAATACCATTCACACAGTCACCTAAATCTTATTTTTATTTTATTCTTTTTTTTTATTTTTTTTTTATTTTTTTAATATATTTTGATTTTTTTTTTGCCCCTCTCCCTCCCTCCCATTCATACCCTCCCTCCCCAGAGTTTTATGTCCATTGGTTGTACTTATTAAATCTTATTTTTAAATGACATTAATATATTATTTTCCATCCCTTGGAGCAACAGGCAATTCAACTGGGCAATCAGCTACGGAAATTGATATTTAAGCAAAAGTGAGTTTATTCTAAAGCAAGAACTGTGTTGCTGCTTGGTATGACATCAGAATACACAGTAATTCAACAGAAAGACTCTGGGTCCTTAGTCCCAGCCCAGGCCATTCCTCCCCCAGTGGACGTGGCAGCCACCACCATGTGTGATGTCCTCTTTGGGACCATGAGTAGTGGTAAGAAGTTCTTACTATGCGTCCCTCAGTGGCTTCTCCAAGCAACCCCCCAAAGGTGATGACAGGTGACATGCAGGCACAGTACAGGAACAGGAAGGAGGCCAAGCACTGCAAGCTGAGTGCGTCCTGGTAGTCGCTCCAGTACCAAGGGGCCTTCCGCTTGATGTCCAGCACCAAGCCTCCAAAGAGCCTGTGGAGACAAGCAGAAAGCCTCCAGCACAGGCCCTCTTTCACAGGAGCATGTGAGCAGCACCCACTTAAAAGCTCTTCGAATGAGCTCTGCCCGGAAGTAGTACTTTGGCTTCAATTCTACCCCGAGTACAAGATTCATTTCCATTCTGAGAGGGGAGAAAGATCATCACTGAGTCCACAGCCCATCTGCAATGAGTCATGTGGGCTTACGTACATTCCTGTCTTAGTTCTCATGTGTGCCACAACGAATCGTTTGCATGTACTTCAAAAACTAATTCAAAGAATTAAAATTGTTAGTATTATTACATCTTTTCTAGATAAAAAACCTCTTTCACATGCACTTTCTACCCACCTTACACTTGAGAAATTAGCATAATAATTCATTCATGCAGTTGATAAGAAGCAGCAGATTCTGGAGCCAGGCACTGTGCCAGGTTCTGGAGATGCAGCAGTGAGCAAACACAGGACCAAAGACCTAGTGCAGGAGGCAGGCAGTGCTATGAGGGTGCCACGGAAACACGGGGCAGGAAGGGGCATTTTATTGGGGGCCCAGTGAATGGACTTGGAATTAACCCGATGAGGCGGAGGGGCTATTACGGATGAAACCTAGAGGTGAGAGCGCCTGGCAGGTTCCAGGTGCTGAATGAGATATGACTAGATAAGGTGTGAGGGGCAAATAGCCGAGGCTGGAGAAGCTAGAAAAGCTGAGCCACAAAAAGCCTTGGAAACTGTTTTAAGGAATTAGAACTTTTCCTAAAGGCATGACAAGTCACTGAAGGATTGTAAACAGGGAAGCAACATAATTAAACCTGCAACCTGGAAGGATCACTCTGGTGGGGGTGTAATGAATGGAACATGGGGCAAGACTAGAGGCAGAGGTGGATGGATTCAGGGGTTAAAGCAACAGGACTCGGTGGCAGGACCTCAGGAGCCCTCTCCACCCCTCAAGGATGAGACAGTATATCCCACACGAGGTGAGCAGTGTTCCCACACTGAGTCACTTCTAAGAGTGGAGTAACTGTGCCACGGTGAATAACAGCAAGAGCCATTCAGCATTCTACAGGACAATTTGCCCAGTTGCTTCTACAGATCAATGGCATGGACAAAAAGGAGGGAGGGCTGTGATAGAATGGAAACATAATAATCAAATCAATCCTTAATTGAATCCTAGGTCAATAAATTAATTCTAAAAAGATGTTGCTAAGACAATCACACAAAAATTGCATATGGACTGAGCAACATGCAAATTTAAAGAATTACTGTTTATTTTGTTAGATGTAATAATGGCATGACAGTTGTTTGTAAAATGCTCTTATCAAACAAAGATACATACTGAAGTAGTTACAAGTAAAATAACATGCTACTGGTTATTTGTTTTAAATAATCTAGAAAACATAAAAACAAAACAACTAAGTGGGGGGAAATAGGTGAAACAAGACTGGCACATGGGGGTTCATTATACTATCCTCTCTTCTATATTTGAAATTTTCTATAATAAAAAACTTAAAAACAGCTGAAACCAGTTTGGCTCAGTGGATAGAGCATCAGCCTGCGGACTGAAAAGTCCCAGGCTCCATTCCAGGCAAGGGCAAGTACCTTGGTTGTGGGCACATCCCCAGTAGGGGGCGTGCAAGAGGCAGCTGATTGATGACTCTCATTGATGTTTCTAACTATCTCTCTCCCTTCCTCTCTGTAAAAAATCAATTAAAATATATTTTTTTAAAAACAATTTAAAAGCAATCTACTCTCTCATAAAAGGAAATTTGACCAGCCATTTCTTCGTTCCTCCCTCCCTCCCTTCCTTCTTTCCTCTTTTTAGCAGCCTGGAAGTGTGCCACAAGGTCTGGGACCTGTAATGCCAGGAGAAAAGGCACACCAAGCACTTTCCTCTTTCTCCATTTGAAAGAGCGCGCGCTCTCTCTCTCTCTCTCTCTCTCTCTCTCTCTCTCTCTCTCTCTCTCTCTCTCTCTCTCTCTCTCTTGTTAGGCACAGTAAGTGTGCTGGCAGACACCGGAAGACACTATTCTATCACACCCACTTGCTCTTTTACTCTAGTTTGGGTGGACATAGCTGGGATTCACCCATTCTCGATTTACAGCAGTAACATCCCAGTGTGGATCTGGGCTTAGGGGAGAGAAGCAGAACCAGCCTGGTGACCTGCTTTCGGTTTAGCCTGTCTGGCAAACCTAGCTTAAGAAGGAGCTACAGGATCCAATCTAAAACACAAGAGATCCACCTCAGGGTTTGGGACCAAGACTCCAGTTTGTAATTAAGTGCTTTTTCTTGCTTTCTTCTCTGGGTAAATAGCCCCTCAAGGAACTTACAGCACCTATAATACAATTAATCTGGGGCAAGATTCTACTGTTTCTGGGTCCTTAGCCAACATAGCATCTTAGTACCACGTGACTCTCATCTCTCAATCACCAATGACCTTCCTCTGACGGGTATTTTTCTGAGAGAAGAATCTCCTTCAGCAATAATGAGCCTCACCCCACTGAGGCAACCTGAGATGCTGCCAGGATTGGTCAGCCTCTGGGCGCAGGAGGCACCTTCAGGAAGGAGTGTCTGAGTAACAGACAAAAGATTTATCTGCAATGGATTTATGGGGAGCCATAGAAAGGGAGGACATCTGTCTGCCTGGTTGTAATTAAAAGGGGAGAGAAAAGATCTAAGGCTCTTATTGATAGTATAATTAAAAACTACTGAAATGATTTCTGAACTCTATTTATGGAGTCAGCACATACCTCACTCGTGCATAAAATCAGACCATAATTGCACATGTACCACGGGTATTAATAGACATGGATGCTTTTCCCACATTTTAGACTTACTTTCCCTTTCAACACTATCCTTAATGTTCAAATTGGAGGTGGGGCAGGAGGCACACGGGAAGATGAATGTAAGCTTGATGCAAGAAAGGACAAGTAAAATAGGGGGTCGCTAGGCTCTGGAGCACTGACTCAGGGAGCCCTCCTCTGGGGGCTTTAGAGGCAGGCCAGCCAGCCATCTGTCTGGTGTGCTTTGGAAGAAATCTGTCTGAAGCATTGGGGGGATCATCGAGATAGCAGCTAATTCTTCTTTTTTCTTTTTTTTTTTTCATTAACCCTTCCTAGGAGTGGCACCCACAATTAAGTATATAAATCTTCCTTTCCAGAATATCTTCTTTGCTGTGAAGGGTCTGGCCTAGGAACACTCTAATCAGACTTTCCTTTTGTTACACTCAGGAACGCACTGCTTCACTGCCTACCCAGCCTGGGGATGCTGGGAGGTCTGAGACACTGTCTGAGCCCTGGCTTTTTGACCAGGTAACGCAAACCTCAGAGTTCTGTTCCTTTCTCTCCGTCTTAGAGTCTATATTCTCACACCTACAAACACCTCTACATCCAATGAGGATAATATCCTGTCTCCCAGTTCTGTCCCAGGTTGTGCACAACCTCAAGGAGATGCTACTAATGGTGTGCAGAATGATAAAACCCAGGCTAATGCATTTTTAGTCTATACAGTCCTAGAGGATCCAGAAAGTTCTAGGATGTCCATCTGCAGGGGAAGGTTCACATTCACCCCCTACAAAATGAGACTGGGGGAGGGGCTAGGGTTGGAAGTTGACATGGAAGTATGGGTCCCTGATATAAGCATTAGGTTGCCTGGCCTAAAGGGCTATCATGGGAGCAAAGTGTCCTGAAGCTTTTACAAAGGGCTCTGAAGAAAACTTCAGGAGCTCAGGAAGACAAAGCATCTCCCACACCAAGCATGGACACAGGGCAGAGACTGTTCCATCATACCCACTTGCTTCCTCCCTCCTACTTTTCTTCCTCCCTCCCTCCCTCCTCTTCTTTCTTTCTTCCTTTCATTCAAAAGCGCTCTCTCTCTCTCTCTCTTTCTCTCTCTCTCTCATCTGGCTAGGCACAATGAATGCATAGGTGGACACAGAGCAGACACCGGATAAAACCATCAGAGAGCTCAGATAACCCTTCCAATTTCAGCTTTGTCAATTCCAGAGGTTCCTGACATGACATTATAGAAGAACTTCCTCAAACCCCATTTGAATTTGTGAGTAGTCACTTGGGGTTAGTAGTTAAACATGTGATGGTCCTAGCTATATAGGATATTTTGGTGGAATGTTAGGCACCATTTCTGAGATTCTATAGCTATTGAAATCCAATCTAATGGGTCTCCTAAACTCTCTATGAAGTGATTGTAAGTGACCCCCCTCAAAAGGCCTGGGGCCCTAGCTTCTCCCTCTGACACCAAAGGAAACCTGAAGTCTTATCTCTGCATGATTATCTGTTTGGAGGAAACTTTGCCGTCCTCATTTCTTCTAGTACTTTCAACTCTAAATTTTGGGGTGTAGACATGCTTTATAGTCCAAAGATAAACCATAACTCTGAAATATTATCAAGTCCAAGCCCTAACACCCTTCCCCTTATAAACACCACCTCCTCTAAGACAGTCTCATTCCTGGAACCTAGTCTAAGGACAGATGCTTCCCTTGAACTGCCTCTCAACACCTGGCTTCCCCACTCATCACAAACCCCACACCACTTAAAAGAAATATTAAACTTAACCCTTAGAGGTTACTCCTCTTTTCAGTGGCCCCTTCGATCAAAGGGCTCCTCCTTTCCTCCAGTGATTCTTCCCCAGGACCTGCTTATCTTCCCCCATCCTCAATACATTCCTCCAACCAAGACACATACTCCCCGACCAGGACACTGCTACTTAAGTGTCATTATCTCCTGCTCCTCAGGCTCTTTGCATTTTCTCTCAATGAATTTCCAAGAATGGAAAAACAAATCACTCTCCACAGTTAAAAAACAAAAACAAAAACACAAAACCACGAATTTCCACTGGGGAGGGTACTGAAGATAGAAGGAGGAAAAAACTAAAGTGAAAGCAAGGGAACAGAAAATGTTAAAAGCTTCTTTCTATGAGTTTAGTCTTGTACAGAGAATCTCCACTCAGATCATTCTTAGCACAATTTACAGAGTCAGGACCACAGTCTCAACCTTCTCCCATGATCTAGGGACATCACCGGATATCACTCCAACCGCAAAATATCATTCTCTTTTACCATCTTCCTCCCCGGCAAATAAAACCTCCTAGTCTGGGCACCTGCTTCTCTCGCCTACCATAGAGAACCTCCTTTTTGGATATCACTCTTTAAAATCTTGGCCTAGCCGAAACCGATTTGGCTCAATGGATAGAGCGTCGGCTTGGGGACTGAAAGGTCCTGGGTTCGATTCCAGTCAAGGGCATGTACCTTCGTGGTGGGCACATCCCCAGTAGGGGGTGTGCAAGAGGCAGCTGATTGATGACTCTCTCTCATCGATGTTTCTAACTCTCTATCTCTCTCCCTTCCTCTCTGTACAAAATCAATAAAATATATTTAATAAATAAATAAATAAAATAAAATCTTGGCCTAGAAGAGTAGACTACCTATTCTGAGACACACATCTATTTTTCTATCCTAAGGAAGTTTCTTAAAATAATCACTCAGTACTTATTAATACTTATCCATACCTAATCCATTCATGTTTCTGAACAGGCAGCATTCTAAAAGCATTCATCCTAGACTGAGTGCCTGCTCTGTGCAGGGCACTGTGCCAGATGCTAGAAATATAATGGGGTCCCTGCCCTTACAAAGCAAACATTCTAGCAGGAAAGACAATGAATCAAGCAATAATAACGAAGTATAATAAGAGCTAGAACAATGGGTTGGTGTCAGGAAGGCAGGCAGGCAGGGACAGAGCTCAAAGCTGTGACACCACATAGCAGGAACACCAGACCTCACCTACAGCAAAAGAAGTGTAACACCTAAACTGAGATAAAGGATAAACAGCAGTTAACCAGGAGATGAGGAAGGATTCCCTCAAATCAGAGGGAACAATGTGTGGGAAGAACTGGAGGTGAAACAGAACAAGGTAGGTGTTCTGAGAAACCTGAATGAATACAATATTTGATATAGTTGTAATATTTATAGTCAATGGTTCTATTTGAAAAGTCATTCCCAGGCAATTAAAATGCCACAGAGAAGAAGGCCTGAAAGCAGAGAGTGACTCATTCCTTTACACATCTGCCCAGCAAGCAGGATCGGCTGTGAAACATCCAGAACTCACCGCCCGGTGCGCTGAAGTTCTGGCCCGCTGTGGCCCCCGTGCGGTTCTGCTTCTATGTGGCAAACGTTTCCATTTGGAACTCCAGGCATTTTTCTTTTCTCCTTTTGACAGATGACCACAAAATTAGCAATTAGCCATCTATCCTGTTCTTTCTACTAACAGGGGCAGTAGTATAATAATCCAAAAGCAGCCAAAAATTTCCCAAGTGTTTATAGTTTTCAAATGCATTTATTGATTTGGGGTAGTTTTATTGATGGGGGGGGGGAGGAGGGTGAGGGGGGGACACAAAAATGTAATTTATCCTCCTCTCCACTAGTACCTGACTTCTAACTCTGCCTTGCTCAGAAACAAAAAAATTGGAGGCTTTGGCATCAGATATAACCTAAGTTCCAGTTTCAAACCTGCCTCTGTATAATCTTACTTTACCTTAAAACCTTGAAGATAATTTTATTCCTTATTTGTAAAACTAAAGATAACAATACCCATGCGGGGGGGATGTTGTTGAAAAGACTGAGTTAGCATATGTAAAGCATCTGGCCTACTGTCCATTGAATAGTAGGAGTATCCTTCCTATCTTTAACCTATATGGAATTCTATTTGTTCTCTACATACAAGTTGCTATTTTAATTTAAAATAGTTTCATTCATGTTACACTCCCAAAAAATGTCCTCTCTCCTCTCTGCCATTCCACATCAATTCTTCAAAAGTTGGCTTAAAATTCATCCTGGGTAATTCTGACTGACCCTATCACACCTGGGCCAATCTGTATTACTGCATATTCATTTTCTCACTACTGTTCTGACATCCTAGGTGCCCCAAAACAAGCATATACCCTACATGGTCTTTGCTTTGTCCATGGCTGGGCACTCAGTAAGTGACACTGAGCCACCATCGGCTGACGTGCACACCTTACCTGGGAAGGGACGTTTTTGGGCGGCTCAATTCTGATGGAAGGGTCCCACTCCCCTGGAGGGAGCACCGTCACCTGGTCCAGGAACTCATCAATCCCCGCCAGGAGATCATCCCGATCTTTGGCCTTATATGCCACATCATGAAAAATCTACAGAGAAGAAAAAAACCTCAGGAAAGTTGAAAATGACTTTACTTAAGACAATCACCAATGGTTATGGTGAAGAATGAATACAATCTCTTGATTTTTATTTCTGTCATGGGGATCTGAAATGTAGAAAACTTTTAGCACTTAGAGAAGTGTAAGGTCAAAATGATTTTTAAAAAAGAACCTAAAGATGAGGTAAGTCAAAAGAACTAAAGATATGTCTATCTGGCCGAAACCAGTTTGGCTCAATGGATAGAGCATCGGCCTGTAAACTGAAAGGTCCCAGGTTCGATTCCAGTCAAGGACATGTACCTTGCTTGCGGGCACATCCCCGGTAGGGGGTGTACAAGAAGCAGCTGATTGATGTTTCTCTCTCATCAATGTTTCTAACTCTCTATCCCCCTCTCCTCCTCTCTGTAAAAAAAATCAATAAAATATATTTTTTTAAAAAGATAAGTCTACCTGTATAAGAAGAGATAAGACATTTGTATAATTCTTATAATTGTGTAAGACATTCCATAATTCTATAGTTGTGTAATTCTGTTATCTCCTCAAAGAATGGAATAAAGAGGAAGATGTATAAGAAAATTTTCTTGCCAAAACCGGTTTGGCTCAGTGGATAAAGCATCAGCCTCTGGACTGAAGGGTCCCGGGTTCAATTCCGGTTAAGGGCATGTACCTTGGTTGCGGGCACATCCACAGTGGGGGTTGAGCAAGAGGCAGCTGATCGATGTTTCTCTCTCATCGATGTTTCCAACTTTCTATCCCTCTCCCTTCCTCTCTGTAAAAAAATCAATAAATATATTTTTTTTTAAAAGAAAAGAAAAGAAAAGAAAAGAAAATTTTCCTGATCATAATAGTTGGAAAAACTGGATGGAATTACTAATGAAGGTTCTCTGTGAAATAAGCTTCCAGATCAAAGAGAGCTAATAAAACACAGCCTCCATCTCCTCTGCCTCCTAAGACACCTGCCTTGAAACTCCTCCTTTGCAATTTACAAGAGCAGTGAAGTCCTCACTGGGGTATGCAGTGTGGGTTCAGCCAGAAAGTCTGGCTGCCTTGGAACATTCACATTACAGTGCCGAGCACAATCCCGACTTACACAAACTGGTCTCATTTATGTGGAACTGGACTGAGGTTTCTGCATGTAAATAGTTTGGATGCATTTAATTAATAATCATCTCTAGAAAGTTAAGTCAGCCTTAATATCTTTTTCTCTTAATAGTCAACTTGGCAATAATAATTTCCCAAGAAAAATATTTCTTTGAATCCTTGGTTATTCAAAAAGGAAGAGATGACATAGGAAGAAAAATCCCCCAAGAGCTCAGTCCTCCCACAAAGAGAATTCAGAGAAGTGACCTGGATTGCTTCCAGCCAACATTGCAATTGTAATTATTTTATCCTTAATAATTAGCAGAGTGCATGGCACATAGTAAGTACTCAATAGATATTTATGAGTTGAATGAAGAAAAAACAGAAGTGGTGCGTACCTCATCTGTCATGATGGTGGCCATGGATCTGCCAATCTCATGGTACTGCTGACCTTTCCCTACTGGACCCAGTAGGATAAATAAAAATCTGCCAACACACAAAAAGGATGAAAGCATGTAAGTAAAATTAAAGAAGTGACATCTTACTCCTCTCTAAACAGCAGGACATTTATCTTGCCTATCAAGCAGAAATCATTGCGGTACCTTCAATAAAAGGAGGCAGACTAATGAGGGAGCAGTATGAGCAGCCTTGATCTAATAGCTCCACTATGGACAATGGAAGCTATTTGTATGACTCCATTAATAATGTGGTTGTAATTCTTGGGGTTTTCATGGACTTGATTCCTTGTTATAGAAAAGACACTTTTTCAAGACATGGCATTGTAATGCAAATTCAAGGTTATCTGTATCTCATTGATGGCTCTAATAAGAAAATAATGGGGAGAGGAAAGGAATAAGGAAGTGGAAATTACCAAGCCTTGGAGAGGAGTCTAAATTATCTTGTGGACATGTAATTCATGTCCTCTGAATTACTCTGTAATTCACAGGCTCTGAGTCACTGAATCACCACCTTCAGAGTGCATGAATAGCCTTTTGAACAAATGCGGACATATCTGCAAGCCAAACAAATCCTACCAGACTGTGGAAAGAGACATCAATGCCTTAGCTCACAGACATTTCCCTGGGATACGGCTCTGCCGAACTGGGAGGGCAACACAGCCCTTGCTATGTCCTTTGAATGCTCTTCAGTTCTCCATTTCCAGGCTGCACGTACTGTGCAGTCATGGCCTTAAAAGTCTTAGAATTCTGCATGGAGGTTAACCAAATATACCCTGTTGAGATCGCTGCTGAATTTTAAGCAGCATTCCCAAAATTTATTAATTATCCTAAGTTTTGGCATTAGCTTGCTTCTTCCCCCCGAGCTCACACAATCTGTAGTCCGGATATGACGCACTGAGCCGTGCTGTTTCTGTCTTTACCTTGTGGGGATGGGCACTTCTGTCAAGCCTGAGAGGAGAACAGCTGGAGAAAGCCTCACAAAGGCAACAATGGGGCGGTTCAGAGTGTCCACCTCACCAACCAGGACGTTGGAGGCCTCTGCCCCACTGGGAATTTTCTTCATGAAATGAAGGTCCACCTGAAAGTCCAAAGAGCCTCTGAGAACCTGGGAGCCGTCACCTCAAACGGCAATCACCCTCCTCATGCCTTACGGTCACATGTCATTTTATGATTTAACAAAAGTTTTCTCACCCTGTTTCATTTAATCCTTACAAGAACTCTGTAAGGTGGATAAGAGTTTTGGTTTTTATTTAAATTAAGCAACTGAGACCCAGACAGGGAAAGTGGACTGGCTCAGGACAAGAGCTTTTAAGAGATCATTTAAATCGGGTATTGTGATTTGAGTCCATTATACCATGCTTCCTCAAAGAAAATTGTTTTTGAAGCTCTAGGTCAAACTTTCCCCATTTTAAAATACTTGAGTGCTTTGTCAGAGGTTCAAGTTTTTAGAAGGCTCCCTGCCTCATGAGCAGAGACATGACTTGACACTATCTGGGCTTTAGAAAGACAATGTCAAGGGTAGACTAGAGCAAGAGGAGGCTGGGGACAGGATGGCTTGAACCAGCAACTGAAGTGAGGCCATGGATACCAAAGTCCCAGTCCCAGCCATGAAGGAGTTTTAGGAGATTGTAGCAAATACATTGTTTTGACAAAACTTTTGGAGGCAAGAAGGAGCTGCTAGAGAGCAGGTGCCAAAATAAATCTGAAAAAATGAGGAGGACTGAGTCAGGGAGGGTTGTCTGTGGCAAGTCGCAGTTTCAGCATGGTGAACCTGGTGAACCTGGTGGAACAAGCTGCTGAGTCGGCCCCATCGAGGCTGCAGTAGAAGGAAGAAGACTAGAGCAGATGGGGGCTCTGGTCTTGGAAAAGGGGTGCTGGAATACCAGAGCTTATTCTGGGTTCCACTAGCCTAGAGACTAGAGATACTCTGAGGCCTGTAAGCCAACTTCCCATGTCTCCACTCACCTTACTTAGATCCACAGGACTGTGTTCACAATTCACGCCATTCTTTACTTCAAGATTCGTAGTTGGAACAGACTGAGGAGACAGAGTTTGACCTATTTGGAGAAAACAGAATTCTCTGAGTCTCTGCCCTTTCCCCCTCAGACACACCTCACTCATGATCGTTTAGCTATACTGTCTCATGCAAAAGCCCTCATAGAGAAGAGGCTAAGATGATTAAGAAGCTAAGACCACACATGCCTATCTCCTTACCTACTAATTAGTGGTAAAGGGAGGACAGAGGTATTACTACTCCTGCACCTACTTCCTGAACACCTTTGTAATCCTCTTTTCTTCCTCTAGTAAGCAATAATCTTTAACCAGGAAAGCATATCAGACTCCCATGAAGAACTTTCCAAATATATTGATTCCCAGGCATATCCCCTGCACATTGTGACTCAATAAATGTGGGGACAAGATCAATGTAAGCTACCCCCTGCCAGGCCACAGAGAACAAAACCCACCAGCAGCTGAAATTCATTGAGTGCCCCTGGGCCTTACATGAATTAAGTTACTGAAGTCTCACAATAAACTTATGGAGTTGAACCTATTATTATCCTTATTTTACAAGGAGAACATTAGACTTAAAGAGACTTAGAGGTTTCCCAAAGTCACACACTTTTCAAGTGGTGAAGTCAAAATTTCAAGCCTACAAGGCAACTCAAGAGTACTAGCCTGGCCGGTGTGGATCAGTGGTTGAGCGCTGATTTATGAACCAGGGCGTCATGGTTTGCTTCACGGTCAGGGCATATGCCTAGGTAGCAGGCTTAATCCCCTGCCCTGGTCGGAGCACTTGTGGGAGGCAACCAATCAATGTGACTCTCTCACATCGATGTCTCTTCTCCTCCTCCTCCTCCTCCTCCTCCTCCTCCTCCTCCTCCTCCCTCCCTCCCTTGCTCCCTCCCTCCCTCCCTTCAACTCTCTCTAAAAATCAATAGAAAAAATATCCTCAGATGAGGATTAATATTAACAAAAAATCTCCAATTTACCTTCTCTGACCTCAAATTACCCCCAAAGTGGGTATCTCCCAAAGCCATATTAGTTCTGAGGCCACTCTGCCCTACAAACCTCTTACCCTGGGTCCACTGAGGTCTATCTGAGGCAGGCATCCCTAGTGCCACAAGAGCACCAGCCTCACACCTGCCAGTCACAAAAAGTACCATGTCTAAGTGAGCGTGGAAGCATATTAGATAAACATAGAGCCCTACCCTCTAGTCAATTAGTATCTATAGTTAATTCTGAAATGTCTAATTAATAATAATTTTTAAAAAATCACAACACAACACAACAGTCATTCCTAATAATCTTACCATTTTTATCCATTGAATGTGGATCAGACTGCTTCTTGCCAACCTCAGCAAAGGAGCGAACCTCAGCAAAGGAGCGAACAATAGGAATGAGGTTATTTCTCTTCTTTTCATTCTGATGATGATGCTTTTTGAGAAGGGCTTCCCGTACTTTAACTCTCATGCTTTCACTCAGGTCACTGAACAGTTCTTGCTGGTCCAGGACCAAGTCTAGAAAAGAGATGCTAACATGAACACTCTGATGGTCAATGGACCCGAAGAGGCCAACGTCAAGTGGGTTAAGGGCGGGGGGTGGGAGAGGGGTGGTCAGTGAGCACCGGAAGCAGTTCAATCAGTGTCACTGAGATACAATTTCCTAAAATAGCATCTTTGATGATAGCATCTGTGGTAAGTTATACTTTATTCATATAACAAATCATTATTATTAGAAATAGAAACTATTAAACACTTTGTATGTGCCAGGAATTATACTAGATTATATAAATTTATCCTCATAAAAACTCTGAAAAGTGGCTTGTATAACAATTTCTACAGATTAGGAAACTGAGGTTCAAACATTACAAAATTCCTCAAAGTCTCACATCTAATAAGATGCAGAGCTGGGACTCAAGCAGTCTGAGTCAAAAGCCCACACTATTACCCATTTTGTTCTGTCATCTACCAAAGGTCCTCTATATTTCTTTCCCCCAAGGTTTTTTTTTAATCCTCCCCCAAGTAATGAGGATACTTTTTTCCATTGATTTTTAGAGAGAGTGGAAGGGAGGGGGGCAGAGACACACACACATCGATTGGCTGCCTCCCACTCACACCCCCACTGGGGCCAAGGATTGAACTTGCAACCACGGTATGTGCCCTTGACCAGGAATTGAACCCATGACCCTGCAGTCTGTGGGCTGATGCTCTAACCCTGGGGTGGGGAACCTTTTTTCTGCCAAGAGCCATTTGGATATTTAAAAAATTATTAACTTAAAAATTAGCCTGCTATATTTGGTCAAACATTTAATTAGTTCATCCCTATGCCTTGGCAGGGCCAAACCAAATGACTTCTTGGGCCTTATAGGGCCCACTGGCTGGACAATCCCCACCCCCTGTTCTAACCACTGAGCCAAGCCAGTTTCAGCCAAGAAGAGCATTTTAACATTTCTGTGATTCATCACTAATATGAATACATCAGGTATCTAATATGGAAAACCATAACAGTTTTACTTCAATCCTACATACCTATTCCCAAGCCTCCCCAAACTTCAACCTATTCTCAACTCCAAGTGCATCATAACTATCCAAGTGCTAAAAGTAATAAAGAAAATCTATTTTAAATATTCAAGCCAAAGATCCATGTTTTCCTATCTTAACCTTTGTATTGATTGTTTCCTTGCTCCAATATTTAAACATGCTTCAAGATCCTTCATCTTGTGGGGGAGGGGGGGGGGAGGAAACAGGATAAGAATATCCTCCCCAAGTCCTCCTTTACCTATTTCACCTATCCTTCTTCCTCTCCCTCTTCCTCTCCCTCTCTCTCTCTCTCTCTTTTTTTTTCCTCTCTCTCTATCTATCTCTATCTCTCTCAACTTTTCATTCTTCTTCTCCCTCTCCCTGTCTCCTATCACTTAAAGTTCTCAAAACAAACATTCTTCAGCCCACTGTAATTTGGCTACCTCAAAGAAACTGCTTTTGATAAAATCATCAATAACCTTCCAGTTGCTCAATCTGATGGATGTGATGTTCTAGTCCTTACCTAACCTGACCTCTCTATAGCATTTGACATTGATGAATTAAAACTCTCTTCCCTTTTGGCTTTTGTAGTGGGTTGAATGGTGACCCCTTAAAAGATATGTTTAACCCCGAGACCTGTGAATGTGATTTTATTTTAAGAGTCCTTGCAGATGTAATTAAGGCTCTCCAGATGAGATCATCCTGAATGACATTGACAAATATCTTTATGAGAGAGATACAGAGCCTTAGAGAGACGCTAGAAGCTGTAAGCTAGAAGCATCAAGGAATAACTTCCCCCTAGAATCTTCGGAGGGGACACAGGATCCTATCAGTGCTGACCTCTCCGGTAGGTCCCCATGTGATCCCAGAGAGACAGAACTACTTACTTTAAATGGAGAAAATTTCGGAGAAATCCTTATTTAACCTCTCCAGCCAAATCAAGCCAAGCCGAGGAAAAAATCCTCACATGCACCCACATGCCAAACTCCATTCCCAAAACATAGTAACATAACACTCAACCACTCCATAAAACGTCATCAGACATCTCCCTTCCATATCTTGCTGAAGAAGCAGAGGTACTTCTGACTCAGTTTCATACATGTCTTCCTAGCTGCCATATTTTAAAAATCTTCTTTAACCCCCTTTTCTCTGCACAACTCCTAGTTGCCCCTTTCTGAAATTACTGTCAAAATATGTCTCCCCTTGTTGCATTTATATTAATTGTTCCATAGCTACTTTCCCCCACTAAAAGATGAGCTTCTTTAAGGTAGGAGCTGTATTTTACCTTTATTTCCTGTGCCTAGGACATAATCAGGCATAAATAAATAAATAAATATAAAATAAATGTTTGCTGAATGAACAAAAAAAATGGAAGACTAAGTACCATGTCATTTGAATCCCATAAGTCTGTGAAATAGATGGTTTCTTAGTTTGAAACCCATCCACCCCCCGGCTGAGATGTTGAGGTCAGGAACGCTAAGTGACTTGCTTACGGACACACAGCCATTGGTTCTTCCCTCTCTACCAGCGGTCGCCAACCTTTCGGACCTCACAGACCACCAGTGGTCCGCGGACCACCGGTTGGCCACCGCTGCTCTATACCACACTTCTTAATTTACACAAACATCGCCCTGCTTTCCTTCACCTAACCTCACCTGAGATTTCTTCTATGCTATTTGCACGCATGTCCAGAAGGACCGTTCCATTGATAAGGCAGCTCCTCAGCTCGAAGAGGCTGTGCAGCGAGAGGGTTGCCACGTAGGGCTTGCTCCAGCGTTCTCCCCCGTCTTCAACGTCTTCTTCAAACTTCAGCCACCTGAAAGCGTTACAAAGAACTAGATGCCAAAGATAGAAAGTGGGGACTTTTTAAGAGCGAGTCTTTAATGTAAATCTCAAAAAAGATGTCTAAAGAATCACACTGAACATTGTAAACTACTCTCTGTGTTCCAGGTACATTGGTAAGTGAAAACAGCAGACTGTACAACAGTGCAAGGTTGAGTGCAGTTTAATTCCATTTTTACTTAAATAAAATTTTAAAAACACAAACACATCCATGTATTAGACACCAAATATTATATTCCTCATTATTCCTGGGGTTTTGAACATAATTTATATTTTCTTTTTATTTATCTTTATTTTCTAATTTTTATAATGAGCAAGTATTACTTATGCAATTAAAAATAGGTCCAATCTCTATCATTTGGATACACTGACAAATCGCATTAATAAAATGATTTCTTCTCCTTAAAGGGCCTATCGGTGTGACCTTTAACAGTTTGCAAAGACAAAATGACAAGATTAATTGCCTTTTCATTTGGTATCAGATGGCTTGGCTTGTTTAATCCTGTCTACCTGTAGAAAACATCCATGGGGACTGCAGGCATCAAGGAAGCGCTATTCCGATGTGAGCTGGAACCACACTTTGCTAGTTATGCACATTGCCTCCTACCCCGAGGCTCAGGCATGCTGGCTTTGTATCATCCACAAGGCCCACTGGTCAGTTACTAGAGGAGCCCAGACGTGGCTCTGGTTAATCTAAGGGCTTCTTGGGTTGGAGCCTTAGACAAGCACGGCCGCTCTACAACTACTTCAAAAAGCCTGTCAGACACGCTATAATCTCAAGGTCTCTGAAGTTGGACTGTCCCATAAGAAGTTAAAATATCAAAAATTATGTGAATCCCACCAAATTAAAACTGAAATGACTCTATGGTTCACTTGTAGGAAAAGTCTGAACCTGTGCTGTGTCTTCTTGGCTAGGTCCACACCAAGGTGGGCCCACCAGGCATCCTCTACACCAGATCTATAATATCAAGATAGCCCATGAAGTACTCTGGGCCCCCCCAAAATAAGAGAGGACCTCAATTCTAGGCTCAAGGTCAATTGGCATAGGTGTGACCAGAGATACCACAAAGAGGTCAACATCAAGATTCTCCAAAGAACACTCTCAAACATCAGTTCCCAAGTCAGCCACCACTTTTCCCATGAAGAAATAAAAGACCAGGCAGGCCTGTCACTTGCTGAAAGGTACCATGGCCTACCCAAGCAAACCCTGACCCAGTTTAGTTTAGGAACATACCTGGCTGTCTCTTTCCACTCAGCATCTTCCCCCTCTTTCATACAGATCTCATCCAGCTCTGTGAACAGCTCATGAGGCACGTGCTCCTCATCCTCCTCAGTACCAAGAATGAACTGAACGCGCTGAGATGGTGTGTCTGGAAAATCAACCACAGAGACAGGTCTGCTCCCAGCCTCAGCTCGAGCAGAGACAGAATTCCGCCATACTTATCACATCTGGGGCCTTAAAACGTCAGGAACATATTTAAGATAATCCTGAAGACAAGATTTTTTTAAAAATTTATTTATTCCCAGGAAATTTTTTTTAAATCTCTTCTGTGAAAGCAGTTTCATGGGAGGAAAAAAAAACAGTAACTAAGACCACGTAAAAAACAAACAAACAACAAAAAAACACACAAGAAACTGGAAATCTGATGAATCTGATCTAAAGGAATGACTAGTTCTTTAGCAAATCATTTCACCTATTATGGTATTGATTTGGGGGCCTGAATTGTATAGTTTTCAGGAAGATACTTTTGATTCTTAGAAGCATTTTTTCTTCTTGGAAGCAAGCTCTAAAAACTCAATAGAAAGGGCAGAGAATCAAAATCATCTGCTTAATGTCCCTCAGCCTCATCAGTCCTCCCGGCCATGGACACCCACCTTCTCTCCCCAGGGCGATGCCGTGTGCCAGGGCCTCTGGGCCTTCCTCCCCTTGGCCGGCTCCTTTCCCCCGGCCTCGTCTCCGGTGCTTCTGGCCATGAGTTCGATGATGCCGATGGCTCTGCCGGCCCAGCGGCATCCGAACCCCCACATACAGAGTTCTGTGACCTGAAAAGAAGTAGAAGGTCTGTACAGAAAACCCCTTAGCAAAGGGAGTTTAGAATATTTAATGGGGGGGAAGGAGGAGGAGGGCCTGGTCACAACCCTGTAATGATAAACCTCAAAGACTTCCAGAGCTAAGGATATAGAGATCTTAGAATTCGAAAGTTGCTTGCATGTGGCTGCAAACCCCGCAGTAGTGTTGTGAAGATCAAAAGAAACAATGTGCATGAACATTAGAGGCCAATACAAATGCTAGTTGTCATTACAACAACAATCTGATCACTTATTTTTAAAAAGGCAATACAATCACTCTATGACAACTGCAACAAGCCTTAGCAGGGAGGCAGCTGGGAAAAGTACTCAGGTCAACCTGCCTGGGTCCAAAACTTGACCTCATCATTCACAACTTGTGACCTGGAACAAGTTATCTGATCTCTCTGTGACTGCCTTTAAAAGGAATACTGAAAGTTTATTACTTAAACTCAGCGGGGTTTTGTGAACAGTAAATAACGTAATGTATGTAAAATGCTGAACACAATACCTGGAATAAATGTCAGCAGCTAATACATTCCAGGATCAGTTTCCTTTTTTTTCTGCACTGTAGAATAGCATGAGAGACTAGTTACAAACCAGAGGGAGGCTAAGGTTATAGGGAGAGATATGAAATAATTGTACAAAAAGAGGGGAACATGAAAAAGTGGTCCAATAGCATTCCTCTCTAGTTCTTCCTTTCCTTACTCCCTCATTCCTTCTATAAACCTTATTTTATTCTAGCAATGACTTCTAGGCCTCTCTCACCTCCACCTGCTGCGTTAGCCTTCCTGCCTGGCCTGGAGTCCAGAATCAGAAACTCCCAGGATGCTCCCGCCCCCGACACAGAGCCTTGGTCTTCCCTCATTTCTACCCCGTTGCTGCGGCTCGCACTCTAGCTTTGACCGGCTCCCAATGTCTTCCATCACAAAAGCTGTTCCTGTCTTTAGTCGCTGCCTTCAAATCCACAGCCTTCTCCACATTTCCTCTCTTCATGTTTTAATGGGAAATCCAGGCCCTCTCAGGTGAGCTCCTCCACCTCAGCCTGGCTCACTTTCCTCCCCCAGCTTCTCCTCTTTGCCAGGCTAACGAGCAAAGCGCCCCCACCCCTCTGGAGTCCTGCTCCATCAGTTATCCTCCTCTCTCCTTTCCATCCATCCCCTCCATGAATTTCTCCTGCTCAAGTTTCCTTTATCTTAAAAAGAAACTTTCCCGATGCAGTGCCACTCTCCCATGTTTCTGCCTTGTCCTCTTCCCTCCTCCATCAAACCACTTTCAAGAACAATCTACCAACCTCCCTCCCTCTCCTCATCATCTCCTCGTTCCATAGCCACTGCATGTGACCTCTCTCCTCTGACCCTGCCCGCTCAGGGACACCAAAGACCACCTACGTTCTATCACCAAATCTCCATCATCTTACAATTAAAATTTTACATACATTGCATTATTTGAGAGCCCCCCACATTCTATGCAGCACCCAAATCCCTTGACCACTTCCTCCCCTTGGTGGTCGGGCTCCCTGAGCTCCTGACCCACTGCCCTCTCTGACTCGCTTGCACTTCTCTGGCTGTGCTTCCTCATTGCTCCCACAATCCCACAATCAAAGCAAGGCTCCCGCTTTTCCCTCCTTCACCCTTTCTTCTCTCCCTTTAGTAATTTTTACTCCCCTGGTTTCAAAATTCACTACTACAAATGACTCCCAAATCTTTATCTAAATGGTTCAAAGCAAACCACCATGCTCCATCCCTAATCAGGCTCATACTCATTTCTTCATTTTTCTGTCCACAGCAGCGCCATTCTCTCAACGTTCCAGACTTGAAACGTCAGTTACCTTAGATTTCCACCTCTACTCTGGCCCTCAGGGTTATATCCTATGATTAGGGCTGTCAAGCCTTTCCCTCCTCTTACTTGGACAACAGCAGGGAATGTCTTCCTTTCTCCCACACCAATTAAACCCCACAAACCAAGCCTCCTGAAGTGCTGCTCTGGAACTGCTCACTCCTACATGGTCAGCACCCTCCGTGCTCCAGCATGCTCAGGGTCCCAGCCTGCTCTCTAGTCTCTTCCTCCTCTGGGACTAATTATACATTCAGTAGGAAAATAAAGGGAAAGACCTCTAAGAGAACCGAGAGAGATAGAAGTTAAAATCCTATACATGCTCCTATCAAATAAATATTCAGGGTGAGGGGATATCTGGAGATGCTCACCTTCTGCATCTTCCTGAGCAACTGAATGGCTTGGTTTTGACTCTGTCTCCTCCTCATGACATTGGCTGCTGCACCCACCATCATCTCACACTCTTTCTTCTACCTAAACCAAACCGCTATTCCATAAATGTGCCGATGCTTTCTGGACACGGACGTGGCTCGCTCCTTTAAGATTCATTGCAATGCACCTTCCTTCTTGGTGTTATTTCTGGTCTCCCTGATCAGATATGGCACCTCCTTCTTCTAAATCCCCAGAGTCCTTGGCTAGCATTCTCTTGTGTATTCATTTTATGCCTTGCATTAAAGTTAAGCCTCTATCAGTGTTATCTCCCACTATTCAATTGCAAGATCCTCAAGGTCCCAGGTCAAAACTTCTTCCTCTTTGAATCCTCACATAACAAAATGCAAAAGTGTCTTATATATGGTCACCTCTCCACATATCCAGAAAATGGGATATATCCTTAGTGCCTGCACTAGGAGCATAAACCCCTAGAATCTCCTCAGGAGAATTTAATGTGACTAAGAAGGCCCCTAATTTGAAGGGGATCACAAAAGAAATGAAGAACTAAAGTGAACATATTTTTGGAAGATGAAATACTCACCAGGGCATGAGAGGACTGAGAAAATCCTAGCCAACCTGATAACTAAAAGCTTACTTGAGAAGTCTTTCTGGATAAGGGGACTCTGTGGAAGGAGATACCAACTCTTCATTTTCCTCTCCCCAGCAATGGGATTTCCTAAGACTATGTTCAACTTCTTTGGGGATTCCTTGTCAGTGCTCTCCACTTCCAAGTGGTGTTCAAGTGCCTGCGGGTGTTATTCTAACAACCCTTTCTTTATTTCTCCCTCCTTTTCTTTGTCCTCCCCTGTCTCTCAACTTCTAAAGTGATAAAGCAAAATAAAAAGTAACAGTGATGATTAGAAGGGAAGTTGATCAGAGATTTGTTAGAGTGTTGAGAGGCAGGCAGGATAATAAAATATTTAGTATCGGGAAGAATCACACTTATTGCACACTAACTGTCTCAGGACAGTCCTGTTGACTTGGGCACACCTCAGGACATTTTTGACAGGCAGATTTCAACAAATAATGTAGTTATCTTGAAACTTCAATGAAACAGAAATATAGATCTAGAAAAGGTCATTTGCTAAGATGTAGGATTGTGGTCCTCTGATATAATCAATGGAAACTATAAACTATGAAAGCAAGTAATTAACTACCACTTTAATAAAATACCATCTGTTAACTAACAATGTTTGACTATAGTATTTAATTAGGTCCCTGTGGTACACCACTCAGGTCAACCCAGGCTGGAGTTATCTAATTGTACCAAGTCCTATCCCAAGGGCTGGGGATACAGCAGTGAACTGCACAAAATCCCTGCCTTCAAAACACATATTCTAGTGGGGGAAGACAGACATCATAAAAACAAAAACATATTATTTCAAATACTGCTCATTTGTATGAATAAAATACAACGAAGTGCTAGAATATCTGTAGTAGAGAATAGGATGGAGAAGGGAAACTTTAGCTAAGATGATTAGAAAAGATATCCAGTGATGAGGAGAGGTCATGAGAAGAGCATTCCAGGAAGAGGGAAGATCAAGTACATAGGCTCTCCGATGGCACTGTGTTTGGCTAGTTCCAAGGGAAAGGGACAGCCAGTAGGACCAGAGTAAGGAGAAAGAGGAAAGGAGAGGAGGGGGGGAGGTTAGAGACAGACAGGCGCAGCCAAGAAGAACCTGTGGGCCACGAAAAGCATATTTAGATCCTAGAGAATCACTCAACCACCCCTAAAACAGTGACCTAAGTGTTGTAAAATGAAGTGTGTCCAGGTGAAGAACGGGCTGAGGGTGACTTTCAGTCTTCAACAGAGCCATCCCAACCATATGCCTCCTCTTCTGAGCAAATATCCCGGGTACTGGCCAGGCTAGCACCTCTACTTCTTAAGCAAATTCCAAATATCTCTGCTGGGCTTGTGCTGGCATAATGCCAGTATTATTTAACTACATTCTTAAGAGAAATTGAGGACACAAAAATTAGGTATTAGAACCCATGGTATTAGACTCATTTTCTTGGTTAATTTATTCACTACTGACACTATTAAAGTAATACAAGGAAGTTGAACCAAATGACTTCTCAGGACTTGTTCAAATGATGGCTGGTCCAGGATCTAATGTTCAAGACCTAGGAAAGGCTTTGGCTAAGGCTTTCTTTGGAGTATTCACAATGGTTCCATTGGTCTCATTATCTTTACTTATTGCTGCAAAAATAGATTACTAGTGTAAAAGGACCTCAGTAAATGTTTGTTGAGTAACTAATGTATGCTTTTGCTTGATATTTAAATTCCTTCTAGGCAAATCAGTAGTGTAACAGGGAAGACATTCTACAGAGGCATCTTTAAAAAGACTCCTCCTTCTCTAATAAGTTCTTTTAGTCTAATCAGTTCTCACAAACATTAGCCAACCACAGTGCCTGCCTTCTTAAAACACCAGTGAGACAAGCGATAATGAAAACAAGCTCCAGCAGAGGTCAGAGCTAAGTAAAATTAGGCATCAGTTTCTATGCTGGTACTCAAGCAGAAACTTGGATTTTCTGAATGAAATCAGCAGAAAAGAAGACAAAGAAAAGGACACTAGGAAATGAATATAGCACTAGTAAAATCCAGACCTAACTGGATTTTGGCATTGTGATGACTTCACTAAACTAATCCCATGGTCACTTTGCTAGCCATTTAACCCTCTTCTACCCTCAAAATCTTCTTCCTTTTCATCTACCTATCAACTCACCCAAATTCTACTTCCTTCCCATCCAATTTTCCAGTCTTTTCTCCAGTTATTTACCACTCGTTAGAGGCTATCTGTTGCAAACACAAGTATTAATTTAGTAAAACTTATACAAAAGATGTAACAGTGTATATATATTTTTTTAATAAGTGTGTATACTTGCCCACCTGGCATAGCTCAGTGGCTGAGCGTTGACATATGAACCAGGAGGTCACGGTTCGATTCCCAGTCAGGGCACATCCCTGGGTTGCAGACTCGATCCCCAGTGTGGGTTGTACAGAAGGCAGCCGATCAGTGATTCTCTCTCATCATTGATGTTTCTCTCTCTCTCTCCCTCTCCCTTCCTCTCTAAAATCAATTTTCAAAAGATAAGTATGTATACAAATGCAGAGAACAATCCTTAGTGAACTGGGACTGAATCTTGTGGAGCAGGACAGAAAGCACAGGTGAGATCCACCCTCCAGATGGAAGCTGTCTTTAACATTCCATACACGCTGTTTACCAAGAATGCAGACAGAACTCATTAGCACATACAAAAGGTGTTTCCCTCCTCTGGGCTACAGGTTGACTCAAAGTCAATAACCACAGGGAGGAATCTAACATGTGGAGCAGATGCAAGCCTTTTCTTTTTCTTTTTCTTTTTAACTTATAAATATGAGCAAATGGCTCTTACACATTTGTTAAAAACTTATTAAAGGCCCTAAACTTATTCTAGGATTCATAAATCTAGTAGTTAATCAGGAATAATGATCTGCCAGAAAAAATGGAAAAATCCATTCTTCTAACTAAAGCAACTGCTCCATGTTCCTCGGAGACTGGGGGAGACCACGGAAGCACATCATGGACTATAATTGCTCTTCGTGAGTTTATCTTTGGAAATCTATTCCAATGTTTGCTTTTGACTCTTCAAAACAATGGCATGGTTTAATGCACTATCTCCTACTGATGAAATTAACTTATGCAAAAACAAAACAAAACAAAAAACAAACAGATTTACAAAAGTCTCTCACAATGTCCAGAGATTAAATCTCAGAATAGTTCTGAAAATGAGTGATAAAGTGGTTTATGTCACATGGGGTAGACATATGGAATAAAGGGGAAGGAAGACCAGGGATTTATCTGCAGCCACAAAACCTTGTACCATGGCATACATATCAAACCAGAATATAATTTTATCCTACACCTTCAAAAGACGATGTCACTCTAGCGCAGCCGCACTGAGTCCCGGAGCTGCCCTCAGAGTGAGTCGGGGTGGAGCCCACAGCAGGGCCAGCCCCATAGCAAATTCCTCTTCTCTCCAGAGCTGCTCTAGGACCACGTCAGGCCTGAGAAGTAGGCACCATTTGTCTCCATTTGTCTAAACCACTTTTTTTTAAATGGTGCTAAAATAAATAAGATTCTAGTTTTCAAAAAGGTCTCTGTATAAACGGCCATTCCCAACACATCACTCTCTAATGACATCACAGATTACTATTTTTTTATGGCAATATGGAGAATGCACAAAGAATAGATGATGTCATCATAAGAAGCTGATCCTATTGGCAATTACTCAGCTAGCCTCTGAGAATGGAACACAGTCCTCGGGATTCAAGAGAGTTTGCACAAGTTGATTATTCTACTCGCAAGGAGACAAGAGTGTTTATAAATGGTTATCTCCCTGCTGAGGACAAAGGTCCAGTGGGCCCAAACAACTAAACTGAGAGCAGCATTGCCCCCGGGGCAATAAGAGGGTAGAGAACCAATAGGATTATCTGGGCAGAAGAAGGCTAATACACGAACAGGTTTATATAATGGAACAAAATGTTGAGGTTGGGGAGTTAGTGCTGGATACCATCCTCCCTTGCAGACGGTGTGGTAGAGTGGAAAAGCCAACTTTCATCCCATATCACCTGCCATCAGATCAATGATTTTCAACCGGTGTCACATCAGTGTGCTGCAAGAAATTTTTAAAACGTATAATATCTGACTATTTAGTCAGGGACACTGATCTCTTTTCCCTTTGATTGCCAAATTAAAAAGTGATAACGGCCCTGGCCAGGTGGCTCAGTTGGTTGGAGCATCAGCCTATACACCAGATATGCAGGTTCAATCCCAAATTGAGGCATATACTGAAGGCAGCTGATAGATGTTGATATCTCTCTAACTCACTCTCTCTTTCTCTCTCTCTCTCTCTCTCTCTCTCTCTCTCTCTCTCTCTCTCTCTCTCTCTCTCCCCCACACACACTTTCCTTTCTCTCTAAAATCAATAAAAAACATATCCTTGGGTGAGGATAAAAAAAAAAAAATGACAACAGCCAACACAATAGGTATCTGGTGTGAATGAATCAAAATTATACGTGTGTGTGTGTGTGTGTGTGCGCGCGCGCACGTGTGCACGCATGCGCCAGATTGGCAAACAATATGTTTTTGGTATGCCACAGAATTTTAGTAACTAGGTTGTGTGCCATGTGGTGAAAAGGTTTGGACATCATTGGGCTAGATGACCTCAAATAAGTCTAATACCTACCTGGCCTTGTATTGAGAAGATTAAAAAAAAGACAACTTGTTCAAAGACCCCAGTCAAATACCTATTACATAAAGGCCATTTAACGAATGTTAGCCTCCCACCCCCACACCCATTTCTTCTCCCGCTTTCTTCCAATTCTGAAACCCACATTGGCCCTTCCATCTGGTTAAAATAGTTTGGAAAACTTAACCTTGATATATCCAAACCCACTGGCCTCCACAGAGCCACCCACATAAGCCCTCATGGGAACAGAGACCAAGTCAGCCTCTAGAGCTTTCACTCCCCTTATTTAAAGGACAAGTTTTCTTGAGGAATTGTACAAGTTTGATGATGGAGGAAAAAAAGTTATGAGAACAAGCAGTACAGAGAGGATTTTTCAAATGCTGTCCCAGTCATTAGAGAGTTGCTGTATCATAGCCTTCAACATTGAGAGGGTGCTGCGGAGAGTTCACAAGGGCTTTTGAGCCAAATGTGGGTTCTCATTAAAAGTTCTCTAATAAAACCAAGCATCACCACGTATCAGGAAACTAGGGCCCAGGGGAAAAAGGAAAACAGGGCACCACATGTGGTCATGTGGGGAGCTAGGGCTGGGGCAGGGAGAAAGGGAGAAGAGCCTTAATAAGGTGAACTAGAAACAGCAGGTCAATAACAATGCCTCTTCCTATCCACTCAGTTGGATTCTTACGTAACTCTGTGCTGTGACTCTTAAAGAATCCTATATAATAAAAGAGTATTACGCAAATCAACCGAATGGCAGAAGGATCGGTCTCTATGACATACACTAACCACCAGAGAACAGATGCTCATTGCAGGAACTGCCCCCTAGTGGTCAGTGCATTCTTATACGGGGAGCACTGCTCAGCCAGAAGCCGGACTCACAGCTGGCGAGTGAAAGCTTCTCTTGCCTCCTCAGTAGCACACCTGGGCAGAGGGGGCGACTGCTGGCTTAGACCCGCCCCCCAGCAGATAGACATCCCCCAAGGGGTCCCAGACTGATAGAGGGCACAGGTTGGGCTGAGTGCCCACCTCCACCCAGTGCACAAATGTCGTGCAGCAGGCCTCTAGTATGTACATATGTGTTTTCCCTTTTCTTGTTTAGATGAAAACACCAGGCAGAAATGGGTTTAGTTGGAAGGAAAGAGTGAACATTGTAAATGGGGTACAAATAAGATGTTATAGCCAAACTGAGTTTTAAAAATTATTTGTATTTATCTTTTAAAAGTTTGCATATATATGTATTTCTAAGCAGTTGTCAAGAATCAAAACACTGATCTGAGTACTTCACATTCTCATGGAAGAGTTCACTTATTAATGTTTACAGTGGACTTTGCAGTGCTCAAAGTACTATCTCACATGCTGTCTATTGGGTATTATTATCCCTACTTTTATTTAACGGACAAGGAAATTGAGGCTAAGGGAGATTAAGTGATTTCCCCTAAGTCTTACAGCCTGTGAAAGTTAGAACTCAAACCCGTCTCCTCATGACAAAGCTGCCCTCGCACAAGGCTGCCTCTCACTGTTTCCCCCATTAGTGGAACAGCAGTTCTTACCTTCCAACTCTTCTTTCTCATAGTGAATGTTGAGAATCGTGCTGGTCCCCCCCTGATCCACCACAGCTTCTTCATCTGGTCTCTGTGAAAATATAAATAAATAGTCATAGTAATACCCACACATTCATTCCAACATTCAGTTAAGTACCATGTGTCAGACTCTTTATGCAACACTGGGAAGAGAAACACAATGGTTTATATATTTTTTAAATGTGAACCTCACAATAACTTTGAGATACAAATATGGTAGCCATTCTCTTTCTTATTTTTAAATGAACAGCCTGAGACTCAGAGAACAAAAAATAATTATTGCCCAAGGTCACAAATGTGATAAAAGGCAGAAGTAGGACTGAGTCCAAGTCTTATGACTGCAGATCTCATGCCTTTTCATCTCTGCACTCCATCTATACATCCATACAATGGCATTTTGTAAGTGATGTCAACCACATTGTCTCATTTGGTGTAACTTGTCGGTCTCCTTGACCTCTGCAGCATCTAAGCCTGTTTAACACTCTGTCCTTGAAATTATCCATCCTGTTCCCTGCCTAAATCTTCTGTGTCTTATCCTAAGGCTCATCTTCTTTCTCTATATATAATTCCCAAGGAAGGGTGACCTACCTTTCGTTTCCTTCACTTAAGTATTACAATTTCAACAGCATGCCGAAACCGGTTTGGCTCAGTGGATAGAGCGTCAGCTTGGGGACTGAAGGGTCCCGGGTTTGATTCCGGTCTAGGGCATGTACCTTGGTTGCAGGCACATCCCCAGTATAGGGTGTGCAAGAGGCAGCTGATCGATGATTCTCTCTCATCGATGTTTCTAGCTCTCTATGCTTCTCTCAGGAAGGTGCACAGTTAGGAGCCAGTGGTTCCAAGTTGTGAGAGGGATCCCAGATTGGAGAGGGTGCAGGCCGGGCTGAGGGACCTCCCGTGCACCAATTTCATGCACCAGGCCTCTAGTTTATAGGTAACATTGAAAGATTACAGATATGCAAAATAATAAATTAGCTTAGAAATATTACTTACTGTCACACTTTATAAACGTTATTCAAAATCTTCAAATACATCTTTAACATCAATGTCCTCCTCATCCCCATAGCTGCTTTGTTTGAGTCAGTTTTCTAAGCATGTCAGTTTCACTTCCATCTAAGTTATAAGGACTCGATATAAAGTCCTGTTTGAGGAATAACTTTTAGATGGAAAAAAAACTTCCTTTGTTTTATTATAGACTTATTTGTTCGTCTACCTTATGATTAAGGTCATGAATTTCCTGATAGCAGGAACCACATATTTTCTTCTTTATGTTCTCCCAGAGTCTAATACTGTAGCTTACCATTGTAAGTAGCTTTCATGTCTCTAAGTCCCAGGAGGGTACGTACTTATGTTCACTCCTATGTATTAGCACCTAGTAAAATGTCCAGGATGTGGTAAATATCCAATAAATTTTGATGAGCAAATACTTATTAGTTTTCTGAACTCTTTTGTTTAAGTCATATAACATATTTTCTCATAAGAAATTTTCATGTTGGCTCCCCCACAGGTTTGTAATATCCAGAGGAAAAGGATCAGGATCAATTAATTAGTATGCTTAATACTGCCTACAGACACCTGACACAGCATGGAACCCAGCAGGAATCTGAAAAAAGGGGGAAGTGAGGAATGATTGATTTTTTTGACTCAAGAACCATGAAAGCAAAATATAAAGAGCAAGGTCAACCGTCTGAAAAATTCAGGTTGAAAATCGACTTGTTGTTTGTTTCCTTAATTTAGATTGGTTAATCACAGCCTAAACTCACTGAATTAACATTCATCTACTTTCTTTGTCTTGGCAAAGAAAACAGAGTCACTGTCAAAACCATTAGTCAGCGCATTTAAAAGGTCAGGCTTGAATGTGACTGTGGATCCTGATTCAAATAAGTCAACTATTTTAAAAAGCACTCACAGAATTTTAAACAACTAAATGGATATTTGATTATATAAAGAATATGTTAAATTTAAATGTAACAATACTATTGTAATATGGTGGTTATGTCATCTTTAAAAATGGTCCTTAATCTTTAGTGATACACACTGAAGTTTTTACTGATGAAATAATATGATGTCTGGGACTTGGAGAATGGGTGGAAACAGATGAATCAACATGGATGTGTGCTCATTGTTGAAGCCAGGTCATTGGGTACATGGTGATTCATTTTTACAAGTCTTTCTTACTTTGGTACATGCTTGAAATGTCCCATAAATTTCAAGTATACATGAATTTTGTTTAAAATCATAAAAATGAAAAGAAAGGTACGTCAAGTCTCATTGGTCTGTTCTTGTTGCAGAGTTCTCACCAGTGGCTATTATTTCCTCTGATACCATCATTATTTATGGCAGAGAAGATCTCTTAACCATGGATTTCCAGGGTCCCTATAACTGGACTTCAGAGGATTATGTGTGAGTGTGCATTTTTCTTGGGAAAGGTTCATAACTTTCACCAGATTCTCAGGGGAGCTTATGACTCAGAAAAAGATTAGAATCATATTATCCACATTATATAAGTTTAGGAGAAAGAAAGAAGGGAGGGAAAAAGGATGAACTAGAGAAAAGGCCCTGTTTCTAAGTCTCTTTTCTGTACTTCCTCCTGAGTCACTGACCAGGAACCATCGCACAGCTGTGAGTTAATGTGAATGCCTATCACAAGAACACAGTGAGATAAAAGGAACTAAAGGAGTTAAATAGACATTGAAACTGCAAGGCACATGGTGAGAGAGAAAGCATTGTTACGAGCCTTGAAAAATGAATGAATTATAGCTGAATAGCAAACCAGATTCTCACTTACAGTTAATGGACAAATTAAAAGGCAGGGGCAGGGCTGAGCCTTACGTAATGGCCCTGCTCCTAGAAGCAGCCACAGAGGCTGCAGGGGAGGAGGAAGAGGGCAGGCAGTGGAGCCCACCGTGAGCCCTCTCCCTGACACACCTCTACTGCTCAGCTCCACCTGGGGGCTGTATACCTGCCAGACTCAGCCCCACCTCTTTTCTGGCAGTCAGTCTCAGATATGTTACCTCTAAAGACCTCTTTCATCTTCTTCTCCTAAGGTTCCACTGTTTCCAGAGACCATAAATAGCACGATCCTACCCCTCCACCCTCCCATCCACCCCTGCCCTGGACAATAAAAAGTCAAGTGTTTAAGTTCTAACATATTTAACCAATTTTTTAAAATCGGCAAATATAGCCGAAACCGGTTTGGCTCAGTGGATAGAGCGTCAGCCTGCAGACTGAAAGGCCCCAGGTTCGATTCTGATCAAGGGCATGTACCTTGGTTTCAGGCACATCCCCAGTAGGGGGTGTGCAAAAGGCAGCTGATCGATGATTCTCTCTCATTGATGTTTCTAACTTCCTATCCCTCTCTCTTCCTCTCTGTCAAAAATCAATAAAATATATTTTAAAAATAAATAAATAAATAAATAAATAAATAAATAAATCGGCAAATATATAAGTAGCTACCAGGGTTTCTAATCAGTGAACTGAGTTAATGCAATTAGTATTAGAAACAAATATTTATGAGCACTTACTATATCATGGTCTAGCATTGTGCTTTACATATTGTATATTACCTCACTTAATCCTCACAACAGACCTAAATCAAGGCTAAGATCTCACAAGAACTAAATGGGATAGGAAGAACTCAAGTTTCTCTGTATTCCTTACATTAACATTTTACTCTAATACTGCTAAAAGCAAAGAACCTGGGTTGTTTTTGAAAGCTCATGTCCACAGAACAGCTCAAGATCCACATTATTATCTTAAATTAGGGGTGTCGAACTCAATCAGAGAAGGGGCCAAAATCTAAAATCCAGCCTAAATCGCGGGCCGAATGGTTTACTGAACAGTCATAAACTGTCATTGTGATGGAAATGCAGCAGAGTGCAGTGATGACAGCGCGGTGCGGGCCACATTGCAAGGCCTGGCGGGACGGATTAGGCCCGCGGGCCTTGTGTTTGACACATGTGCCTTAAATCCTTAGTGCTCCTGAATCTTGTCCCTCAAACTGCTCCGAGACTTTCAATAGTTCTCCATCTTTTTATTCATTTCCATCTTCCTCTTCATCCAGCAAAGTCTGTGAATTCTGGCCCTTGAAGACTCTGTCACCGGCTCAACCCAGTGGATAGAACATTGGCCCGCACACGGAAGGAGTTGTGGGTTCGATTCCCAGTCAAGGGCACATGACTGGGTTGCAGGCTCGATCCCTAGTAGGGAACGTGCAGGAGGCAGCTGATCAATGTGTTTCTCTTATTATATTAATGTTTCTCACTCTTTTCCTATCCTTCCTCTCTCTCTAAAAAATCATTAAAAACATATTTAAAAAGAAAAATATATCTTTATTATATGTGCTGCCGAAGCGAGCACAAGAAAAATATATCTTTAAAAGAAAAAAAAGACTCTGTCACTGAATATGACCCATAAATCACCAACTCTTGAATGACCTCAATTTGACTTCCTCACTGAATGCAGCCATCCTATAGGAAAAAAGGGTTCCACCAGGATTTGTCCCAGCTGTCCCAGATCTCTTCTGGGTAGCCATGAGCTCCTGAATACCCAGGATTTTCTTATTCTGACTCTTCAGCAGCTTTCTAAAGGCATACAATTTCAATCTGGTTCTGGTTTCTTAGTGATTCTTTTATTGAAGCCCACTTGGAGTCAGCTACTCCTGTCCAATATAGATTACTGGGTAATACATAATGGTAGGCAGAATAATGACCCCGAAATAAGGTTGCAAATGGAAGTAAGATTGTTAATCAACTGGATTTAAAATAAAGAGATTATCCTGGACTCTCTGGTGGGCTCCATGTAATCACAAGGGTCCCTAAAAGTGGAAGAGGGAGGCAGAAGAGTAGTGTTATGGAGAAAGATATGACACCAAAGGCAGGGTCTGAGACACACTATATCGCTGGCTTTGAAGATGGAGGGAGGGAGCTGAGAGGGAGGAATGCAGGCAACCTCGAGAAACTGAAGAGGTCAGGGAAACAGATTCTCTCCTAGAGCCTCCAGAAAGAACTCCAACCCCACCAACGTCTGACTTTACCCACTGAGAGACCTTGTTGGATTTCTGAACTACAGAACTGTAAGAGTATCAGTTTGTGTTGTTTAAGACACTAAATTTGTGGTAATTTGTTATGGAAGTGATAGAAACCAACACATACCCTATGGCTTTCTAACTTTCAAACCAGAGTAAATGTGTTACTACCTTCCTTGGAGAGGGTGATGGAGTATTGACTGTACACTGCAATGTAGTGAGAGGAGAGATGCTATGATTGATACTTTTGTTCAATAACATTCAACAAATACTGACTGTTCTCATAAACTGACCTCAGAAAAGTTGACCTGCTCTCTACAAAGCCATTCATTCATTCCCTCAAGAAATATTAACTGACATGTGCCAGCATCATTGGGCAGGAGTATTCAAGTCTCCTTCAGGAACTCTTGCCTTGGAGCTTTCTCAGGGCCACCATAGGATATAGAGTATGACTTGCTTTCTATTTGGCTATGCTTTTCAATGACCACCCACTTACCAGGGTTTGTTATTCTCAAGACGTCAGCAAAGCTTTCCATTCTGAGCAGGCCTAATTCACAGAAAAGCCTTAGTTATTTCCCAAATTCACTTGCTCCCCACTCCTCCACTTCCACCTTCTCTGAACCTCCCTGCAAGTCCTGGACCTCTCCACCTTTTCCTCCAGCACTTCTTTCTGCTCAGAATGGACTGCTTATAGGAGAAATTTTAGGAACTTTGAAGATGTCCCCAGTTCCAGTCCAAACTAGGCTTCCCTAAAGCTTTCTTATCTCCTTTCATTGTTACTCCCTTTAAGGGCTCACTGACTCCTAAAATTTCAATAGTCACCTCTACAGATGTCATCAAAATTCAATAATGCAGACCTTCATTGATTCATCCTAAATTATAGCCTCTTCGCTAGTCCCCTCATTCCAGTCTCTTCCCACTCTAATAATATCCTTTGTACACCTTGTCACACATATCTTTCTAAACATTTATTAATGCTCACTCTGAGCCAGGCACTGGTCTAGGAATCAAAGATAAAAGCTACAGTAATGCAGAGTGATTAAGGAGACATCCTTTGAAGAGAGGCAGCCACATATTAGAAAAAAATGCTTAATCTTTTTTTCCTCTTGGTTTTCTCATGTGAAAAATGGGGATAAGAGCATGTAGCTCTCAGGGTTATTGAAAGACTTAAATGAAATGATGCATGGAAAGCACTTAACACAGTGTCTTGCACGTGGCAAGCACCAATAAAAGCTTACATAAAACATCATCATCAAAGGGAACTGCCAGGTTAGCAGTAGAGAGAACAGGTATATTCCATAAGGGGTGGGAGAAAAAACAGAACTTGGTGGGTGTGGTGAGCAGAGAAGACAGACTATATTATGATAGTGATATGAAGCTTGGAAGTTAAAATATTTTGGAGAGGATAGGAAAGATTTTCCAGCTGGGAACATCTGGGCAAAGACACAGAGCATAGAAGGGAGAGCAATGACAGTGTGTTGCCCTGTGCTAATCCCAACAAGGTCACAAGCTCTTTAAGGAGAGACACACTGGCTTTGACTATGGGAGAATCATCCATTCTATAATCTAGAATCACAAACCTATTATATATTATACCTGGCACTGTGTTAGATGAGAATACTTGGTGCCTGGTCCCTGCCCTCATGAAACTTCTATTTGAAAATAAACAAGAATTCAAAACAAGAACACTTCGGATGAATTATATGTGCTGTTAAGAAAACAAAATACTATCGTATGAAAGGGAGTGACTGTGGTTAAAGGTCAAGGAAAGACACTCTTGGGAGGTGACACTTGTGTCATGAGAAGGCCTAGATAGAAAAATGTCCTAGGCAGAGGGAACAGCAAGAACAAAGATCCTGAGGCATGAAGGAGCTGGCCATATCGAAGAAACAGAAGCCGGTGCAGGGAGGCATAGAGAGTGGAAGAGAGGCAGTCAGAGAGGGTAGTCGAGGCCTTGATCATGTTAAAGCTTGATAAGCACTTTGGATTTTCTTCTAAAATGAACTGGAAAGTCACTAAAAGGTTTCAAGATAGATATGACATAATCCCATTTGTGTTTTTAAAAGCTCCCCCTGACTGCCAGGCCTGAAGTAGAATGGCAAGAGAGAAGGCAGAGGGAATCATGAGAGGCTAGTGCAACAGTCCAAACCAGAGAAAACAACAGACTTATGCTATTTGGGTGTGAGGTCTGGAATCACTGTTTGCACAAGTTATTTAGTCTCCTCATTTTGCAAGGTCCATCTTCCTTCCTCACAGCCTACGTGGGAGGACTAATTGGTAATTTTCAGTTGCTTGATTGTGTCTCCCACAAGTCAGACATTTACTTTCCTCCTTCCACACTCATTTCTTTTCCTCCCTGCTAGTATATCCATGTTCCCATTTGTCTGTCGCCTGACTCAGCCTTCATGATTCATGAGGTCCTCCTGTTCCTACTCTATTTAGTTTCTTCTCCTCATCCTACCACCCATGAAAGTTTCATGAACTAGATGTAAAGGAGGTAATTATTTTCTATCTTATCCCAGAAGCACTCAGGAATTATCTATTTCACAGAACACAAACAGAAGGTTAGGGGTTATTATGACCTTGGCAATATAACCTGTACACACTCTGCACGTTAAGGACACTGTCTCCTCACATTCATTCCAGCCTGTTCTCCCACTTCGGCCAGAGAAATCATTTTTTTAATGTTTTTATTGATTTTTTCAGAAAGAGAGGAAGGGAGAGGGATAGAGAGATAGAAACATCAATGAGAGAGAAACTTCATCAATTGGCTGCCTCATGCACAGCCCCTCCTGGGGACTGAGCCCACTACCCGGGCATGTGCCCTGAACTCTTGGTTCCCGGCTCAACACTCAACCTCTCAGCCATACCAGCCAGGCAAGAGAAATCTTTTTAATAAAAAAATCTGATCTCTGATTGGCACACACTCTCTCTCCTTCCCTCCCTTCCTCTCCCTCTCTCTTCTTTTGCTCTCTAGAGCGCACGTGTCAAACACAAGGCCCGCGGGCCTTGTGTTTGACACGTGCGCTCTAGAGTGTCTTCCCTTGTTCCTCAGAGAAATACCAGCTTCCTCAAAATGGGCTACAATGGCCTTGTACATTATGACACCAGAGTATGTCTCGCACCGTTCCCCTCACTCACTCTGTGGCTGTAGCCACGCAGGCCCCCTTTCAGGCCTAACAGCCAGATGCACCCCTCCTGCCACAGGACTTTTGCACATGGAGCTCTTTGTGTCTCCAAGACCCTTTGAGCTCCCTCTCCCCTCAGGAGGCACTTATTCTTTAGAGCAGCGTTTTTCAACCGCTGTTCCGCCGCGAGATGTTGCCTGGTGTGCCGTAGGTGCAGACAAGACAAGAATTTTATAATTTTTCACTATTTTGTTTACTTAATATTTCATAATAAAGTAATTATAAAATACTTTCTTTGTGTTTATTTGATTCCTATTCAAGAGAATTACTTAATATATAGTCAATATAGGCACAGAGTTAAATTTTTTAACATTTTCTAATGGTGGTGTGCCTCGTGATTTTTTTCATGAAACAAGTGTGCCTTTGCCCAAAAAAGGTTGAAAAACACTGCTTTAGATCTTTGTCCATATTTTGTCTGTCTTTCTTTCAAAGAACTTATCACAGTTTATAATAACACATTTACGTGTGATTATCCTCCAAACACACACACACACTCACACACTAGACGAGAAGCTCCAAAGAGCAAAAACATTGCCTATTTTAGTTCATCGTTGTATTCCAAATGTAAGTGAATAATACACTTAATAGGCCTTAACAGATTAGATAAGGATTTCTAAAACCTTAGATAAGATTCCTTTTTGATGGAGCAAACAAAGAAGGAATTACAGATCTTCTAGTAGCAAACTACCACAGGAAGAAGAGAGTCAGTATCTGATACTCATTCTGCTACAAACTCAGTGCTTTTGCTGACTCCTTACAGAAACCATCCCTGATGTCAATGTGGCACTTGTTTCCAAGACCCATCATCCTTCCCAAGAAGGTCCGTCCTTCTCTTCACAGCCTCCCACTTCAGACTAGGCCCTCTCTTCAATCAGTCCCTCTTTCCAGGGCAGTAACTGTGACACCTGATCTCACAGGCACGGGGAGAGGGATGTCATCGTCCAGAACTGAGTAAGGTACCACTCACTTACTGGTCGTCTCGCCATAAACATTATTTCACTAAGCCCTTTCACAGCAGCACCTCGTCTTGCCCTTACACCAAAGCAGGGATTACCATTCCCATTTTACTAGATGGGGATCCGAGGCTAAAGGGGGCAAGGGACTCATTCAAGGTCACCAAGCCTGTATGAGATTTGAACCTACAGGCGCTGACACACAGTCCGGCGCTTCTTCCTTACATTAGCCACCCCAACAGTTGGGCTACCGGCTACTGAAACCTGGTTTCCTCGTTCTCTTAAGTAAACACTGTTCCTGACTCCTCAACACCCCATTCCTGCTTCCCCACCCAGAACTTGTCAGATGCCTGCGCCATGAGGGAGTCAGAAAGCTGGACACACTACCAGGGTCTGGTCCCAGCCTCCCTCCCATCTCCCCAGCGCTTCCAGAAACCCCCAGAAATAACACAATGAGGACACCTGATTCCTCAAAGGATGGCCCCTGGCTACTCTTTCTCCCACGTTCCTGCTCCACACGGCGAGGCCAGAAGCCGGCCTCCCCCCTGACAGGGAGGCCCCAGGAGAACGGAGGTCACACGGGATGCGGCGGCGATCCGCCAGCTCCCGGGTTCGGCCCAAGGTCACCCACCCGCTCGCAGTCCCTGCCCGGTGCCCAGCCTCGCGGAGCGCCCCCTGGTGTCCCGGGACGGCCTCCCCTCGCCCTCAGGGAGTGGCCGCGGAGCCCAGCCGGGGGGCAGAGGCGGGGAGGTGGGCAGAGGATGAGGAGGCTGAGCCCGGGGAGGGGCGGGAGGCGGGCCCTACCTGATAGCGGAGGACGCCGTCCGGCTCGCTACTCGCCGCGCGCATGGCGGAGCCGAGCACGGAGTCCCCCGCGGGCTCCAGGCCGAGCGTCAGCAGCCCCTAGGCTCCCGGCGGGTCTCAGCGAAGCGCCCCGACGGCGACCCCTAATCCGGAGCCAATGGTCCACCATCCACCTCCTCCTCCGCCTCCGTGGCCACCGGCCCGCGAGGCATCGCCGCGGCCAATCAGCGCGCGGCCTGCGCAGCCAATCAGCGCGCGGAGCACGGGAGGACGCTGGCCGGCGGTACCCGGGCTACCGCGGGGGGGCGGAGGGGGCGGGGGGGGGCAGCCCGGGGAGCCCAGGTTGCCGTGGAAACCGCCTCCCTCCCTTCAGGGCTTGAAGGTCCTTGCAATTGCTTGTTGGAAACTGAAAAAAATCTCATTCTTCTATTTGCAGCTGCCCCTCACCCTGGGAACGTGGGAAAGTGTTGATTTTTGTCTATTCTGGTTTTATTCTCTGGATGATTTTTAAATTCTGGGGAAACGTCCCTTGGGGGGATTGCAGAAGGAAGTAATTGAGGATGAGGGAAAAGGACGAGAATACTTGCTAATCTGTGAGCTTGTGGCCAGATTAAGGAGCATTAAAGATAAGCACTAGCGGGCAGTGATCCTGTCCCCTCCACAGCCTCGCTAGGACTTAGGTCTCCTCCCTGGGTCTCAGGTTGGCAGCCAAAAGCACAGGGGTGAACTAAAGATGGTGGTTGAAGTAATAACACAAAAATGCTTCCAACTTTTCCAAGAAGGCAAATTATTACTTAATAACAAGAACTATTTGATTAAGGCAACGCTGGAAAGTCATGAGTAACACATTCCATTTGATACATGCTTTAAAGAAAAGAGAGTTTGACCATCATCCAACCAATCCCCTGTCCCCAAGCGGAGGGAAGGGGTCTTTTCCTCTGTATGTACTATTACATCAGGCAGTAGGTGAGTCACATTAGAACAAAAAGAACTGTTGCAAATCATTCTCCTGTCTCCACAGAAGCTACACCTGAAGATAAATAGGGACATATTAAAATTCCAACCCTGCATCCCACCCCTTGCACTGTCCCTGAAATGAGAAACAAGGTTGTGCTTCAGGATACCTGAGGCAGAACCATATTGCTAATCTTCATAAGCTCCTGGTCCTGTTTCTGAGTCTTAACATTCATTGCCACAGTCTCTGTCATTCTCTACACTAAACATGTCCCTCGACTCCGGCATCCACCCCATCATTTCCCACCAAATTCTTAACCTTTCTTCAAAGTCAATATATTTTAATTGAATTTATTGGGGTGACATTGGTAAATAAAATTATATAGTTTCAGGTGTACAATTCTATAACACATCATCTCTATATTATATGGTGTGTTCACCACCCCAAGTCTAGTCTCCTTCCATCACCATTTATCCCCCATTACCCTTCTCTACCTACCCCCATCACTCCTTCCATCTGGCAGTCACCATGCTATTATCTGTGTCTACGAGTTTTGGGGAGTTTTTTGCTTTATCCTTTCATCTTTTTTACCCAGCCTCAAACTCCATCCCCTCTGTTTCTATTGTGTTTGTTAGTTTATTTTGTTCCTTAAATTTCACACATGAGTGAAATAACATGATACTTGTCTTTCTCTGACTGGCTTACCATAATGCTCTCACTTACCATAATGCTCTCTAGGTCCATCTATGCTGTCGCAAAGAGTAAGATTCCATCCCTTTTTTTACAGCTGTGTAGTATTCCATTGTGTAAATGTACCACAGCTTTTTTATCTACTGATCTACTGATGGACACTTGGGCTGCTCCCAAATCCTGGTTATCTATTATATATACTAGAGGCCCGGTGCACAAAATTTCTGTCTGGATAGAGTCCCTAGCAGCTGCCAGCTGTCAGCCAGGACCTCCCTTCTTCAGATGCTGGCTGCTAGCCATGGCCTTCCTTCATTCCACGTCGCCCCCTGGTGATCAATGCACATCATAGCAAGCAATCGAACTCCTGGTCAGTCAAACTCCCAAGGGGACACTTTGCATATAGATATAAAAGCCAAGTGACCACAACGCTGGAACAACTGGAATAACCAGAAAAATTTTAGCCACAGTAAGGATAATAAGCATCTTAACTCTTAGGCAAAGACTTAAGAATGCACATGGCCCGTTCAGGGTAACAGTGATTTGGACCAAAGTTGAAAGTTATAAAGAGGAGCAGTAGGAACTAAAAAAAAAAAAAAAATGTGGTAAAGAAAAGCTATAGCCAAAGTTCTGATTTCAGTTTTCTCACATGATAGAAAGTGAAACACTGTGGTCTTAGAGAGCACCTCCATGCATCAAGACCCGGTTCAATAGTGTAAATACATTGTGTTATTTAATATTCATAACATCATTATTTCTCCATTTCACTGGTAAGAAAACTGAGACTCAGAGAAGTTTAGCAGCTTTCTCAAAGTTAAGGAGTCATTAAGCTGGGATTCAGTCATTTATTCACTCCAAACTTATTTACTGAGAATCTGTGTATTCAGCCCTGTGTTGGGTGTTGGGGAAACCGCAATAAGACAAAAAATAGGGTCTTGCCCTCTTGAGCCTTACAATCTAGTGGGGAGAGAGTGAACAAGATAGTCTCAGGTGGTGGTCGCTTCTCTGAAGTAAATAACGGGTCATGTGATAGAGAGTAACTGACATGGGGTTGGGGAGCGCTACTCTAAATAGGGTGTTCAGGGAGGGCTTCTCTGAGGAGGTGAGGAGAGCTGCTTCTGTGGGATGAGTCAAGGACAGGTCTGTCTGATTCCACTAGTTCTTGGCCTCCATGCAGCATATCCCATGTTCGTGGTACCATTGTCAACATCTGCTATCGAATATTAGGCGCAAGCCAATTAGAGGAGGAAACCTGGGGCCGGGGGTCAGTTAGACTAGCTCTGGCAACATGATAATACAGGAGGGGCCAAGGATGGTGACCAAAGGAAAAATGTGCCCACACTTTCCTCCCCCAGAAAGACAGCTCCCAGCGATGGGAGTGGGCTTGAGTGGGCAGAGTAAAGAGAGGATTGAGGAAGTAGAGGATTCCCAGGAACTCTGATGGGTCTAATTTCCCTCCAGTTCAATCATAAAACAAGTCAGAGCCCCTGGCCCTTGACTTCAGAGTCAAGAGCTCCATCTTCTGGTCTATTGTGAAAATTACAAAAGGAACTAGGCCACAGAGTTGGCTTCGGAGGCTGCCTGAGGCAGCCACCACCTGGGGAGTTGCAGCCTATAGGCCCTGCCCCCCGGCCCCCACCCGGGGACTAATTTGGTCTCATACCCTGAGAGACCCTTTGCTCCAGGCTCCAGGTTTCTAGCTTTTATTGCTCCCTACACTGCTTGGAAAAATGCAAATATGCTGCTCTCAGCCTAGCCGGCCAGCTGGGGGAGCAGGAAAAAGGACATTCAGTCAAGGACACCACCTCACGCTCTTACTTTTCTAAAGAGAGCAGGAGAAAAAAAAAAAAAAATAGTGTACAGGATGCTTGGCCTGGAATGAGGCATACAATTCAAAATGCACAGAGAGAGACTATACACATCAACAGGGAAGCAAGGAGGCACGCTACATGGATAACTTTAATTAATCCTTGCAATGATTCTATGAGGTATGTTCTGTCTTCCCATATTATTGGTGAGAAAACTGAAGACTGTGGCTTATGGTGTAGATTGCCCAGATCACACAGCTGGCACAGTAAATACATGGTGACACTGGGTTCTGAGATTGGATGTATATGATATAAGTGCAAAAGCTTAACCACCTACTGCCTCTCCTGGGGCTGCCTGGACCTCCATCCTTCTCTAACTTTTAAAGGCTCCAACCTCTCTTCATGGCTTCCAAATGTGGCTATCCTTCCAGATTTGTATCTCTAGATCCTAATACCAGTGGTAGGGGGTAGGAAGGAGAAAAAGTAGGTCTTGAACCCCCTGTAAAATATATGAGACTGTCCTTTCAAATAAGTACACAAAAGCCCCAAATTTTGTATCCTATATAATAAAAACCTAATATGCTAAGTGTCTGGTCATCCAGTTGGCCATTCAACCGATGAAAGCATAATATGCTAATGATATGCTAAGGCCACTCAACTACTCACTATGATGTGCACTGACTACTAGGGGACTATAGGACAGATGCTCTAACCAGTAGATTAGCTTGCTGCTAAGGTCCAGCCGATCAGGACTGAGCAAGACTGGTCCGATATACCCTGGAGCCCTCCCACGGTCCCTCACCGGCTGGCCAACCTCCCGCATCCCTTCCTAGCCCCGATTGTGCACCAGGGGGTCCCTCAGCCTGGACCGCGCACTCTCAAAATCCAGGCTGAGCCTTCTCCAAGTGCATGAATTCCTTGCACTGGGCCTCTAGTATAATTATAAGGCATGTTCACAGCCTTCCCAGGGAAGCAGTAGGTACCTTCTTTAACTATTGGCTGAGAAATGTTGAAATTCTCTTATTCAGAGACAAAAAGGCAAAAACACAAACTCGAAAGGTCTAAGAAAATGTGCTCATACAATTGCAACCAACTCTTCCTTCTAAAGCACCTTAATTCCTCCATCCATTCCCCATGCCTCTTGCCGTTCGAACTGTCCGGAGGGCCGTCGGGGCAGGGGTTCGTCTTTGCTTGCCATTAGGTGCTCGCAATTCCCAGCGGCATCTCATACCTGACTTACTTCTCCCACTGCCTCTTAGTTACACATCTCAACCCAAGAACGGGTTGGTGGAAAAAATGTGGAGATTCAAGGAAAGACTTAATTAGGGCCTGTTCGTGCTGTCGTCTGGGAGAATTTCTGGGAAGGGAGGGGAAGTGGGAGAGAGAAACCATTCTTCACCAAGCCGAAGAGGTTATGCAGGTGCACGATTTGCCTTCAGCCCTTGCCAAGTCGCAGCACAGCTAAAGAGACCACAGAATACAAGTTCCTTTGTTCACAGCATGCTGCCAGCCTGGAACACTGCACATCACAGAGAAGAACAATGAAGCACCACAAAAACTGACGCTTGACTGGGAAAATCAGTCCCTCTCCATTTGTCATCGCCAACATTACCCATAGAAATGCCCTGTACTGTACTCACTTACATCTTGCTCCAAACTAAGTGAGGCCAAACACAAGTACAATAGCAAAAACCTACTTTCTGCCTTCTCAGGAGTCACGAGAATCTCTGGACAGAGACAGAGGTGGCGGGAAGGACCAGTAGAAGGGCAGACAA